GATCGCTACGTACCCCGCCTCTACCCTACCTAACCTTATGGTACCTTAGCCAACACACTGCGAAGTCTTTCCGTTGTTCTGTCGCGGAATGGAAAACAGGAAGGGAAAAAGCCCATGTCTGCTCTGCACACATCGTAGGTACCTTGGTGTCTTTCCTCCTGATGCCTACCTTTCCCTTGTCCTGTTTCTTTACATTGGATGCTTTCCAGGTCGCCTGCGTACCTACTTTCCGTGACGGTCGCGTGTTCTGGACTTGGTGACTACCTCACTACAGATACAGTGTCCCCGCGCTACGTAGCCACATCCACCCGCATCGAGGGGGACTCAGCGCATTCGGGGTCCCTGTGGAGGATTTTGTGGAGGTTTCTGTGGGGGAGGACGCTTGAGGTGGACTGGACGGCCCCACTGTTGTATCTTGCTTGCATTGCACCGGATTCACATTCCATCCACCCACCCACCCACCTACCAACCCACCAACCCACCAACCCTCTGGCGGTCACAGTCCCCGTCTGGGGGCCCCTGCAGGTGTCATCACCACACCCATCGTCGCTGTCCTTCCTTGGCCTTCGCTCTACACCAACATTTCCGTTTCTCGCTGGCGATATTCTTCAAGTAATTCTCCATCTTCTCCCCCCTCTGGCCGGCTCTCCGCCGCTGAACAGAAGCACTACAGTATCTACAGAATTGACGACCTACGCAACATCTTTCTCCCTTCGAACCTCTGTCTCTCTCTCACACACCTCTCGTTGGTCCCTCGTACCGCCGTCTCTCGTCCGCCGCACTGCGAACCCCGTCCGTCGAGTCCGTCGCTTCATCTCGTCCTCTCTGCTCCAACCGCCTGCGCTCCTCTGCCAACCATCGTCCGCCTTTTGCGCCCGCCTGTTCTTCCTTTCCCCTTCTCGGCCGACGCTCTCTCCCTCATAGGGCAGGCTGATTTGCTCCGCAATCCCGCCCCAACTTTCGCTCCAAGTACACCCCGTCGTACTCTGTACCCGTTTGTCCGGTCATCTGCTCCCCAGAGATCTGCGTCCTTCCCATGTCTAGTCTATCCTGACATGATCTGACTGTCCCTTCGACTCGACACGCCAAAACACTCTCTTGTTCGCTACCTACTTCCTGGAACTGCATCGCCGACACGTCTTGGACGCCCTGACGACACTCCCTACCCGTCTGTCCTTCTTTACGCCAACCGCACCGCAGACCGACCCCATCTATTTGCGTCCTCTCCTCCGCCGGCGGCTCTTCTTCCGTCACCTCCCCCAACTCCAAGGCACACCAAGCCGCACGCTGTCGCGACAATACACCGACGCGGGTATGCTCTGACCGCACCGCTCCAAACAACCGCCCCAAAGCACATGTCAGAAGCCTTCTGCACCGATACGTTGCCAGGCTGTGATGCGATACGGACGGCAACAGGGCTGCCTTTCGTCCACCAGCTTTTGTCTTCCTCGAAGCTCCTTTTAGCCCAACCGAGTCCCTCTCTTCTCGTCGTCTTGCTTTCCCCATCACCATGAACGACGTTCTCATCAACCCCGTGCACCCTCTCCCGGCCATAAGGGTCAAATCCTCATCATCAGGCCCTACAGCCTCGCTCAAAACCGGCAGGTCCTCGTCGATTAAGAAACAGCCGCAGTCGCCGCCCCGAAATGCCGCCATCGATTCCATATCCCGCGCCATCAGAGGCGCCAACAACCTTGTCCTGTCCTTGCGGGATGGTCTGTCCGAGCTCGAGCGGGAGAACAAGAGGAAACAGGAAGAGAGGAAGCAGATATTGTCTCTCCGCATGAAGAATGCAAGTACTGCAGACGCGACCACTGCGGAAACACCAAGAGGCTCTGCCCTTGCTAACCCTTTGTCTAGGCCGAATCTCGCAAAGAATGGCAGGAAGCCGCCGAGGAACTTGATATACTCGAAGAGAACGACGTGTGGAAGCTGGACCCCTACGATGGCGACTACTACCCCGAGCTGATCGAAGCACGACTGAAAGAGCTCGACGATGCCCGAACGAATTGCGATACACGAGCCATGATGCACCTCGTTCGCACAGCATTGTGCAGAGACCTCGGTGGTATGGGGAATGTTGATCTTTACAGACACTCCTACGTCGGCACCAAGAATCTCATCGAGCGCTATGTGGACTCGGCCATCCAGACCATTGACGCTCTCGTCGAAAAGAGCCAATACGCGTTACCCGAGGGCATGGGCCAGAGAGACATTTTGGAGAGCGTCCTGTTCGCTCGCCAAAGCTTTGGCCGAAGCGCGTTGCTGTTGAGCGGCGGGGGAACCCTGGGTATGTCCCATATAGGTGTTTTAAAGGCGCTCTTCGAAGTCAAGCTGCTGCCGCGCATCATATCGGGTGCCTCAGCTGGCTCAATCGTATCTGCCGTCATCTGCACCCGAACCGACGAGGAGATTCCTCGTCTTGTTAGGGAGTTCCCGTACGGTGACCTGGCCGTCTTCGATGCCGAGGAGAACCCTGATGGAGTCTTCGACCATATGCGACGATTGCTCACCGAGGGGAGTTGGTCTGACATCAAGCACTTGACTCGTGTGATGCGCGGTTTGGTGGGAGACCTCACGTTCCAAGAAGCTTACAACCGCACACGGCGAGTCCTCAACATTTGCGTGTCCACCGAGTCCATGTACGAACTACCTCGCTTACTCAACTACATCACCGCTCCCAACGTCATGATTTGGTCGGCGGTGGCCGCTTCTTGCTCAGTGCCACTGGTCTTCAGCGCGGCTCCGTTGCTAGTCAAGAATCCTGATACCGGCGAGCACATGCCCTGGAATCCGACACCACAGAGATGGATCGATGGCTCCGTCGACAACGACCTGCCCATGACGAGGCTTGCGGAAATGTTCAATGTGAATCATTTCATCGTCTCGCAAGTCAACCCACACGTCGTGCCCTTCTTGGCGCGTGATGACCAACTCGACCCTGATGACACCTCAGCGCGTAGAACCAGTCTCTCGCCCAGCAAACAGGAGCTGGATTGGGTCTACACCCTGACGGCTCTGGCCAAGGATGAAGCGTTGCATCGCCTGCACTTTCTGGCCGAGATTGGCGTCTTTCCAACACTAGTCACGAAGCTTAAGAGTATTCTGAGCCAGAAATATTCTGGCGACATCAACATTCTACCAGAGATCAGTATCCACGACATACCAAAGATTCTTAGCAACCCGAGCCCCGATTTTATGTTACGGGCTTGCTTAATGGGCGAACGCGCAACGTGGCCGAAACTAAGTCGGATTCGTGACCGCTGCGCTATCGAACTCGCACTGGATCGAGCTGTTCATCGTCTACGCGCTCGTGTTGTGTTCTCTGACAGCCAGGTCGACTTACGTCGACTCACCACTGGCATTGTCTTGCCGCCACCGTGGCCGAAGTCGACAGGGGGTGCGAAGATTGCATCGTCCGGAACCCCAGCCCTAACTCTGGATACAGAGATTGTCAAGAACCGTCAGCGCCGATGCTCAGGCAGCAGTGTACAGCTCATAGCTCACCACCGACGCTTGATGGAAAACGTGCTCACTGATGAAGAGACAGAGGAAGAGGAGCGTCTAGAAATGCGGGCAAGACATGGTCACGGAAGCACGTCACCTGTTCTTGTTCGCAAGCCTCGTCTCAAGAGAGCAGCTAAGAGCCATTTCAACGTTTCTTTGGCACGGGGACCTCAGACTAGTCCCATAAACCCGGCTCATCTTGAGGCCGTCGAATTTGACTTCGGAAAACCCGTGACGCCTCCTTTGCACCGGTCACGACACTCGGAGGGGTCATTGGCACACAGCGCCAGCTTGGCCATGACGCCAGCCAATGACGTAGACCCTCTCGCTCCGGGATCGAGAGGCGAGGCGACATCCCACACCGAGCTAGAAACATCAGACTTGCATTCCTCCGACGGGGACGTCGAGTCCCACACCGACATGTCGGACCCAGAGCCATACAGCGATAGCCACTGGCTCCGCGAAGGGTCCGGTGAAATAGACACAGCCCTCAAGGAAGGCAAAGACTTACCCAAGGTTAGCAGCCGTGAAGTCATCGCGGTGAACGAATCCGTGGGAGGACTTTGGGATTGACTCGTAGACGGGAGGGTGAGCTCCTCGGACGAGGAAAACAAGACGGAGAAGGGAAATGAACTTACCAATCCAGCGGCCAATCATAAGAAAGATGAAGACGAGGTTTTGCGGTCCAATTGGATGAGCTGGGACTAGCCATCGTAGTCGTTGAAGAGGCATTGCATGGGCGGTTGCATCATAAAGGGAGCTCGGTATAGGCTTTGGTCTTTGAAGCCAACACATGATAACATCAGCATCATTAGGAGTTTGGTGTAGCATCTGCGGTACACACCGTTGTAGAGGTAGGCGGCTGGAGACGTTGCAAATGAATCATCCTGTCGCATAGATTATTATTTGGAATTCAAATCACTTCAAATCGTACGTATGCGCAGTTGTCTGTACCAGCAGCCTTCATTGTTCTCGCAATACAACGGGTGTGTCGCAAGCGAAAGTTATGTTTTACTTCAATCAGGAGCATCTTCATCCGACGCAGGGCGATACCCGCTGTTGTGTGTCGACCGTGTCTCCGGATGATCTCCATTCAGACAAGCGGCGGCGGCGAAACCATGGAATTCAGATTGAAGTCCAGAAAGAGCCAGTCAACCAAGGTCCGGAACATTGAATACGACCTATGTAGATTAAAAGCTGAAAGGCAAATTTGGTTCGTCGCCGCTGGGGTAATTTGCTGGATATATCTGCCCAATTAACCGATACCGCCTCACCAGCTACAACCACATTAAATGGTCCAGACCTTCCTTGGTGGAAGACCGTAGCGATAGCGGAACAGACTTGGCTCTCTCCCGATACCCTGATCGGTACCATCATAAGCTCCGTGGATGTATAAGAGGAGCTGCGTCCCTCCCCCATTGAATTGCCTACATCGTAAGTCGCCTGCAGCGACGCACCGGTCGACGTCGAGCCTTCCAAGAACAAAGCTAAAGATGATCCTACTTCCGCTATTCCTAGCTTTGGCAGCTACCACCGCCTCCGCTGCCCGAATCAGATCCCTCACCCACAGCGGACCCGGCTGTCCCCAAGATGCCAAGGTGACATGGTCCGGCGACCTCAGCGACCTGACGATCACGCTGTCCGATTTTAGCGAGTCCCTTGCGGCCGGCCAGATGACGAGCTGCCAGGTTCACTTGCTCGTCGACCAGGGCGAGTCCAGGAAGTCGCTAGTGCTGCAGGATGTCGTCGTCCGCGGCGGGCTCTACTTGAGCCCCAACTCCAAGGTTGACTTTTACACGACGGCATACTGGAGCGAGGCTGCGTCTGATACGGTAAGTAGTGTTATCCTCGCATGCTGGCATAATCTCTCTCAAGATTCTAACATATCGGTCCTCAAGGTAACGAAGCAGACGAGCACGTTCGCGGGGTCCAGCGCTGTTGTCCGGAATGTGGCTATCGCTCAGCGCCTAGGGTCAGCGTCGCCTTGCGTTGGTATCGATGGTTATGTGGGCATTCTGAATGTTACTTTCCGCATCATTGCGCAGGAAGGCGGTAGAGTGGTTTTTGGTAGGGAGCGCGTTTCCTCAACGTCGCCTGTGACGGAGGCGCTTTCCTTTGCCTGGCAGAGCTGCTGAGTTAAGCTAGTATGGTATTGGTTTGACAACTTGGCGGGACTTTGGAAAGGAAACAGGCAATACCATCCGCACTTTTCCATCTTATTGAAGACCAGGTGTCATCCTGTTGGTTGCGGTTCAGTAACAGGTTCGTGTAAGTCGTTGTGGCACTGGCCCTGTTCTCGATTCACGACATCGCGGCTGGAAATGTCGATGCGGCTATTGGCAGCTCACTTTAAACGAGGCTAGTGCCTGGTATCACAAATAGAACGTGGCTAAGAGAATTGTATCAAATCTGTAGTATGCCTCACGGTGTCTACGTTACCTATGCTCGCACACGAGGCGCTTGAAACACTTGAACTACATCTGAGACCGCTTTTAACTTCTTGTTCTTTGAAGCTTGGTTCAGATAGGATACGTAATCTTTCTCATTCGAAAAGTCAGCACTTCCGATGCCACGTCGCCGAGTAACGCATCGCACAAATGTAGAGGCTGAAGACCTGGCTGTCTGATGATGAACCACATAAAAACTACAGGCTGATCACCGCAGATCATCTCTAGTAAGCTGATCATCGAAACCGAGAGAACAAACATGATTGGGCAAGCCTGATCCAAGGTGCTTCTCAATTCAATCATCTGTCGGGAACGCATCTAGTGGTTCCATTCGAAGCAAGCATCCGAAAATTCAGTTCGGCGCTGTATTTCACACCCGCCATCTCAGTTTCCACCGGGTTTCTCGAAGGAGATCACAGCGTACTGGAAGGTCCCGTTCGCGTAACCTCGCCTCATCGCGCGGAAGGATTGCAGAAAGGCGATGCCGTCACGGCCCTGGCTAAAGGCGAAAGCCCACAGTGAGGGGTTCTGGATGAGAGACCACGTAATATCCCTGAAGCATATGTTAGCGACCACAAGCCAGAGTGCGACACGGGCGGGTCTTTACCAGGTCCTTGCAACGTCTTTGCTAATGTCTTTGGGCCCATCAAGTAGATTGAGTCCGCCTTCCTTCGCCAGATCGACATATCCCTGCTGCGTGCACATGGGTGGGAGTAGCATGCCGTCTGTGAGAATTTGGTTAGCCTAAACCGGACCAAGAGCTGTATAGAGCATGTCCCCACCCTCGATTGGCTTGATGTCATTGTTGAAATCTGTCTCGCTCAGGTTCTCGGCCTTGAACCAGTCCGCCAACGCCAGTTTGCCCCCAGGTCTCAGGACTTTGGAAGTGTTCTCGAAGAAAAGCGCCTTGTTGGGGAAATGGCTGAGAGCCTCGCTGATCCAGACGGCGTCGAATGAGCCCCCCTGCCCAGCGAAAAAGGAACCCATCTTCTCTGCGTCAAGCTCGATGAAGCGCACCTTGCCTCGACCAAGCTTGATGAAACCATCGACGTCGGACTCCGCTTCGTTCTCTTCTTGGTCTTTTGCCGCCTCAGCCTTGGTGAGTCGGTTTGCGATCTCGACTTGCTTGGTCGAGATGGTGATGCCGGTCACGGTGCACCCCAACGTCGAGGCAAGGTATCGGGAGGTGCCGCCGATTCCGCACCCGACATCCAGAACTGTGCTGTTGTCGCCTACTTTGGAGATTCTGAGGAGCAGCTGGATGAGGTTGACCTGAGCTTCCTCCTTGGTCTGAGAATCGTTCTCCCAGTAGCCGTGGTGGATGTGCTCGCCCCTGCAAACAGGCAATGTTAGATAGTGTTCAACTTCAAAGTCATGTATTGCTTCCGAGGGTCGCTAAGGAAAGCTGCTATGCCACCCGGGTGTCGGGCTGTAGAGCGAACTTGTGCACGGGAGGATGAACTATCAATTGCCAGGTATTCTGCGTCCCAGGCCAACACCAAGCACATCCTTCAGAATAGTTCCGCACGGAGGAAAGCGTACCAGAGGCTCAGATAATAATCACTCGCAAGATCATAGTGCAGCTTGATCCTGTCCTTCAAGGCCTGCATCGTGGAGTGAGCCAAGCCGAGCGGGGTGTCATATTGCTGGCTGAGCGGCGTGGTAGAGCTGTCGACGGCGGCGGCCATGTTGGAGACAGAGGCCGAATGGGTATAAAATAGTAAGATGATTGGGTTATGTATGAGTTCAATGGCTCACTTGCGACGACGATTCAGAAACAAGTGATTTCAGCGACTGATCCAAATGACGGGGCGGATGAATAGCTGGGAGCTTCGGGAGCTTGGGTGCTGGGTGACGGGCCATTGGTCGTCCCGCGTCCCGCGGCCCGGCCTCGGTAAAGGTACTTGACCAGCCATACTACTTCGTCTCTTGAGGATGTACTCGCTTTAGGTAATTGATGTGTGAGGGCGTGACCTTACCGTACCTACTCAACACGTTGGGTAGGTGAGGAGCAGAGGGACGTCAGCTTTCCGTTGGGTGAAACTCTGGAAGCTAAAACGCCCAACTGCATGAGGCAGGTGCACGTCCCCTCGTCCGTTGCTGCGCACAGATCAAGGCAGTGGACTTATCTAATCATTGCTTATGTCATTGGCGTGTGCGTTGGTCAAGCCACAGCACCAGCCGCGGCACTAGCCACTCCCTAAAGCTGTCACGCTGGGCCAAGCCTTCCCTAAAAATAGCCGGCAAGTTCACCCGATCTCCAAGACCCAAGCCGGCCAACGCCGCCGCCGTGGGCAGCCCCAGCCACTCAGCACAGCGTCGGCACATGTCGCATGGTGGCAGTGCAGGCCAGTGCCGGACGCCGGGGTGGGGCCGTTCGTCTGCCAAACCTTTTCTTCGTAAGGCGACAGCAGCGTCAGTGCAGCGCACTCTGGTCGCCAGCAAGGAAAAAAAAGGGGCCCGGGGAGAAACAGGGGCTGATTACGGGGGGAGTGCAGCCCAGCCTCAGCCCAGCCCGCGTCCGCCGCGTAATGCTTGTTTACGTATTTTTGCGTGTGCATTGCTTTGACGATCGCTTGTTTTAAAAGTCATTCGGTCCCTCCAGAAGAACTTGCTAAGGAGCTGTCTTCTTTCCCGTTTGCTCTCTTTCAGCCCTTGGCCTGCCAACCGCTGCTCCTCAATCGCTACAACACTCGTTCTCGCGCACACACCTACACTCGCTTTCTCACCAATCCGCCGAACCATCATGGCGCCAGTCAACCCAACGACGGCGCGACAAACGCTTGCTCGCGCCAGTAATGTCGCTACTATGGTATGGAAAAGGGCAGCCATATTAGCTGCGCCAGAAGTCGCGCGCGCGACCCACCATGCATTGGCTCGCCGTGACTTAAGTGTCAACTCAACTCAGGGTGTCACCCTTGGTGTTATCGCTGCATACGTCGTCGCCATCGCTATTCTTTGGAACGTTCCGTATCTTCGAAATATCCTTTGGCCTTTTAAGATGCTCACGGTAGCGTTTCACGAGTTTGGCCACGCCATCACCGCGTGTTGTACCGGTGGTCGTGTTGTATCTATCACCCTCGATCCCAACGAGTAAGTATCATCAAAAGCTTCACGAAATATCATTTTGCTGATAACTAAAATCAGAGGGGGCCAGACCCTTATGAAGGGCGGTGAGTGCAAGCCGTTTTATTATGAGTTTTGCCATGCTGGCGATGCAGTTCATCCAGATGTGGTGGTGTCGAGAACACCACAAACAGCCATGATTCCGGACGGATGGCAGAGGCCGTTAATCAAGCTTCGCTTTCATTCAAACGGTCGGCTAACGGTTCAATCTGCAGGTGTTCAAGCTATTACTTTGCCGGCTGGTTATCTGGGTTCGTCGCTCATCGGAGGTTTGCTCATCTTTTGCGGCTTCAACATCAACGCATCCAAGATCGCGTCCATGGTCCTCGGATTTTGTTTCCTACTCACACTTTGGTGGGGGAAAAGAGACTGGCTCACTATTCTGACGGTTCTTCTCGCTGTCGGGCTGCTTGTTGCGGCTTGGTTCATTGCTCATGCTCAGGCTTTGAGATTCGTTGTTGTGAGTGGTGCCCGACCTCCCGGACCAAACTTCCCAGAAGCTAACACGGCAATAGCTCTTCCTCGGAGTAATGTCCGCTCTTTACTCCGCTTGGGATATCTGCGACGACCTCATCATGCGAAAAGTAAACAGCTCGGATGCAAGCGTTTTTGCCCAGCGATACGGCGGCTCATCTCGATGCTGGGGCCTTATCTGGGTCTTCATCAGTCTCTGCTTCATGGCAATCGCCATTGTAGCCGGCATCGCTGCCTTCCCGCAGAGCTTTTCTGAACAGGAGAGCGACTCGCAGAAGTTTTTGCCCACCTAAATTGGTTCAATGCGCAAAGGTGCCATATTACAATGAAAAGGAGAAGAGTCGTCTGGGGGCTTCTACCAGCTAGCAACGATTTCCGCAGCCATGCCTCGGATTTCACGGGTTCCGTCTACAGAAGGCCTCCTAAATTCCGGACTCCGACTCCAATCGCCGAGGTCCAGATGGAGACACGTACGTACGGCCCTGGCGGGTCATCACGGACAACGAACCACTGCCGGCAGAGACTTGAAATCACAGAGGAAGAATGGCCTGGGCTAAGAGTCGACTACAACGACGACGACGACGACGACGACGATGACGATGACGATGACGATGACGGCGAAGACAACGCCCAGGACTCGGCCAATGGAAACAGCGGAGCGCTGGGAAAGACGGAAGACTCGAGAACCAGAGTATGATGAGACGAACATCAACGATGAATCTCTTTCAGGAAACGGTTTCAATACGTATTTCAACAGAAAAGTGGTCTGTTGTTATCAAGCGGAAATCCGGAGATTTGCCGCCCAGTTTTAATAACAGTCGCAATGCACAGTTGAGCATGGCGCCTGACTTATTGTCATCTCTTTCGCAGTTGGATGTCATGTGATAGTTTTGTATGAAACTAAATCGTAGTGTGGTCAATAGAACAATGACAGATGAATAATCGGAGACCGAATAAAAGTGACTGAATAATCAGACACCGGACAAGGCAATCAAGAATGGCGGACGAAATCAGTCGCTGGCTGGATTGAAAGACAGATCTCGACGCCACTGGGAACACTCGACCTCATCTGAGAAAGAGCGTTGTATCTTCATGTTGACAGTCGGGTGGGTGCCTGGACCAAGCATGGCAGGGAATTCGGCACCGCACAAAGAAGAAGCGGCTGAGAACGTTGAAGGAGACCCGTAGGCAGGCACCTTCCTAGGCGGGTAACTCGTTCTTTCTCACTCTATTGTTGCCCCGTCTGGCAACTTCCCGACTCGTCGCTCAAAAGCCGCAGAACTCGACTGGACGTCGGACATCCATGATCACTACTACTTCTTCTCAACCTCAATTGGCTCAACGCTTTGCTCCTTCCCAAGGAACCCCACTCGCACCAGATTGGTTGCGCTTGGCTCACACGATGTCTCGCCAGAAGCAACATGCCAAAATCCAGCCCCCCGACCCGGGCAAGAAGGTTAGGCTCCGGGCCAAGAAGGCTCCTCAATCTGGGAAGCCTCACCGATCGACACCCTACGCGCGTCCTGCGCCGGCTCCTCAAACCCCCGCTCGAGTGACTCGTCCTGTGCGGAAGACTAAGACAGCTGCTCGCTATCATTCCACTGACGACGGTATGCCTGTTCACAACTTTTCTGGGCAACGACGACTGACGTGACCTTCGAATTCAGATAGCTCTGACGGATTATACGCTACCACCAACAATGATAACGACTTACCCAACTCCTCGTCAGACGACTCGGTAGTTGCGCTCGATGTCGATGATGACGAGGTTGCCAGTATCCAGTCCCAGGCAAATCGTTACAATGCTACATCTTCGCGTCAGACCACGGCCCAGATACGCCCCCGATCCTCCGCTTTCGATCGCCAAACAGCAACGACTAGTCCATTCAGACCTACCGCAGCAACCCAAGTCCGCCTGCAAATTCCAGCCATTCACAGAAACGAGAAGATCACGACTACCTCGAGCCGCGACTATGCCGCTGTGACATTTCTGGTTCGGAACGGCCCGGTAAACGACTTGCTCATTGAACGCGGCAAAAGGTTGCTGCAGGAGTTGTTTTCTGGCTGCGACATTGATCCCACCACCACGAGCATGGTCAGCCTCGACGACTGATCAAGACCCGGCGGACCACTCGGACAGAAACTTTGGATCATGAATCGCCCAAATGGATGAAGGGTATCTTTTGGGGAGACAGCCATGGCAAGAAGCATCATATTTTAGAACGTTTGTACTTGGTTTACGGGCAGCGAGCGTCTAATTTCAGGGATGGATCGGGATCTCTGCTTCGCTGTGCTTTTCTATCGTACCAAGAGTTTTTCTGGGCAATAGAATGGAATCTTGATGGTTACCCATGCCATGATTTGCCTAGAATATTGATCGTTCGCGCTTCCTGTCAGCATATGACCTTGGTGCGTTAAATAACAATCTCGCTGTCAAAGAACGTAGCTGAGGACGAAATGTAAATTACTGTCGTTGTCTTTGCTGTCGTCGTCTCTATTGCCACGATTGCTTCTACTCGGTATTCCATGACCATACTCAGCAGAATGGGCTGGTGGCTACTTCCAGAACGTACTCGGGTCTGCGTGGGCCCTTCCTGCCTTGAACCTTCGACGACACTCAGCTTTGTTTTCGCCGTTCCTTCCCCGCCACAGGACCTCCTCGCCTTCAGGCTTCGTTGAACTTATACCGGACAACTGAAATCTCTTCTTTGGGCAATCATCTCCACAAGGGCTTACCATCAATTTGGACCTCCCCATCGCAAGTGTCCCTCCTCACCACAGTCCTCCTTCTCGTCAACAGTCTGGATTTGTCATTGCAGCCTCTGACGCATATTCTTCCACGACTACGCTGACCAACTAGCCTCGCCATGTCTGTGGTCATCATCGTTTTTGATCATCGCCGCCGCCTCATCGGACTTCCCAACTCGTATGAGTCGCTCATCCAGAAGGCGCGTGCGGAGTTCAATCTAGGAGATGCCGACTTGCTTGTGCAGTTCATTCCCCCCTTCCTGGACGAAGAGGTCGAGCTTGATCCAACTGCCTACCACGCCATCCCCGACAAAAGCATCCTTTTCTTCTCCAAGTTGCACTCACAGAGTACTGCGGACCCCGGGCCAAAGAGAAAGCGGACGAAGACTGGGAAAGCCCCTCAGCCGACCTCAAGCTTCGCTGTTCACGTCAAAACATGTAATTATGTCTTCCTTCCCCACCCGATGTCTTGGTTCGTCACAAGCTTACGTAGATTCATTAGTGACTGGCAAGACCATCACGGTAGACACCAAAGCCTCAGCTTCGGTTGCGGAGCTCAAAAATCTACTCTATGAAAGTGAGGGCGTGCCTCCCGAAGGCCAACGACTCATCTTTCAGGGAAAGCAAATGACGGATATTCGGACTTTGGCCTCCTACTCAGTCAAGAACAACGACTCGATTCATTTCGTCCTGGCATATCGGGGGGCCAAGCCTGCCATTTACCTCATGTCTCCGGCAAAGCTCTCCGCCGTCACCGTAGACGTCACCCTCACAAAGCACTGGGAATTCTCTATTCTCTATCCAATCGTCGAGCCCGCCATCCTTTCTGGCAAATCCCGCGCCAAGTGGCAAGTCTCTGTCAGCCCGGATGGCACGCTCGAGACTTTGGAAGCTTCAGGGCCGAACTTGGAGTGCAGCTACCTCTTTTGGGAAGCCGAGGCCATCGCAGGCGATAGCATCGCTCCGGAACTTGTAGCTGACTTTCCTTTCAACCCTCAGCGCCCTCTCCTTTGCTTTAAGGGACCAACCGCGCTCATCTTGTCCTTCGACGACTTTCTGCCTTATCTCGACAAGGTCCTGCAGACCCTGACATTGACACCAGCTATGCGCACCGAATTCATTGTGTACTGGTTGCCCAAGTTCATAAAAATCCGCGACAGGGGTCAAGATATTGCGTTCGACTTCGTGCCCCAATCAGACTTTCAGAAGGTTGCTCATTTGGAGATCGAGCCCCGACCTGACACGGTTGCTCGCGTCTTCCTCATCTTCCGTGGGACATTCAAACAAACCCACGGACAGAAAACTCTGGCGGAACTAGAGGACATTGATTGGTCTGCTAGAATCGGTATTGATGTGGCAGGAATGAAGGATGCAGGCACTTTTCGGGCTCTGGAATGGGGTGGAATGGAAGTGATCACGGTTTAGATGGTTTAGCTCTGCTCTATCACAATGGATTTCCGGTCATAGGCCAGCATGTGCTTCTCTTAGCATACCACGAAGCAAATCTCCGATACTTCAAACATATTTTGGACCATGTCCTCTCGAACCCTTTGTCTCCACTTGGCAACCTCCAATTCATGTCCATCCACGCTCGTCAATGCGCTTGGGCCTGTCACTAGCCAAGGACGATGGCTTCCTGTGGATGTTCGGCGAACCTCCTTCCCTCTTACCTCCCGCTCGAATCTTTGTGGTCTCGTCAATGATGGATTCAGGTTCAGAAGGCCCGTGGCGCGTACGAAGGCATTGTCGCTTGGAAATTGTAAGATGCATTAGACCATTGATCGTTGCATTCCGGAGAACATGCATGGCGGCATCCAACCCGGCCTTCGCGGCCTTTGGTTTCTTGCTGACGTCGGGCGACCGTGTAGGTCTGTCGATGGTCGTTGAGAAGCCACGATGAGGCGCTCGAGGTATGGCGGTAGCAGATTCCATACGTTCAGGGTGTGCCTGGAGCGCAAGACGCGGCTCGGGGTGGTGTCGGACTTGGCGACAGCGATGTTCTTAGTTGGAGCTGCAGAGCTGGACCTCCTTGTTGGCTTTTCTCCCCGACTGACGATCCGTCCACCTTCGCAACCCGGATCCTTTCGATTGCTTCTCTAATAGGTTGGAACTCGATTTTTCGTGCCTCGATTTCCTGCAGGCCTGTCATTGCAAATTCTGCCGATATCTGCTGCCTATCAGGGAATACGTTAATTGTAGACTCGCGCAGGTTCAACGAGTCGCAGAAATTGGGATAGATTTGGACTGGGGAATTGTTCTTTTCTTGGCGGACTGCTGAAATTCTCATTGTTTGGTTCCCGGCGAGGATGATTGCAGAAAAGGAGACCTCGCCGGCTTTGGGAATCTTATCGGCCATGTTGGAAATCGGAACAGAAAAGTGTATTTGAGCTGAAGCAAATGCGAGCATGCTTGTGGAAAACAACAATTGGCATCAGTAAGGTATGAAACAGATGCCAAGCAATTTTCAGCAGTGTTGCTAGCTTTTTCAAGACGTTGGAGGCTCCGTTGCGGACTTTTCAGAGCGTCAGGAAGGTGGTGGGGGATCTGGTTTTGCCCAAAGGAAAAAGAGGGCAGGGTGCAGTGTTGCTGGACCTGCTTTCAAGCCCAGGCCGTGCCGCTCTCTGAACTGCATCTTGTTCATAATCAATGATAAAAGCATTTGAAAAAGGCGACCAAGCGAGAAAATCGGAGATATACTGAATGGACGGGTGAAATTTGAAGGAGCCAGTAAGATTGCGTATTCTATCTCGGTTCATTCGGCGATGTTGAAAAGAACTAACCTGGATCATCAACCAACAACAGGATGTGCCCATCTCTGCCGAACACTTTGCAGAAAATTCACCTACAAAAACATCGTCCGATTAGAAAGGCCGAGCAAACCAAGAGTTGAAGCGATCGCCGAAAAGGTATGCCCGCCCGCCTGCATCAAAAGACCCTCAACAGCGACACCTATCTAACAACAGAAGGCAACACCATGAACACAATCTCCCGCCAGTTCATCCAGAAATGGCGCTGCATTCCCACCGACAAACGCATCAGCGACGCCGCACTTGCTGCGCATATTGGAAAGCGTAAGGGCAGATCGTCATCCGTCGAATTATGCGAGGATCTTGAGAACGCCAGGTGGGCTCGACACATGCGATGCAAGTATGGCCCACAAGCTGAAGCCACAGGCCTCACCGACGACCTCTACGCGGCCACGTCCTACAACGATTTCACCGCCCCCGAAAACTATCGTGGCTTTCTCAAAATCTTGAGATTCCATCTGAACGGCCCTAGAATGAATGTAAACGACATGGTTAAATGGGGAAAGGTGGCCCGGGAATGGATCGAGAGAGTGCTGAATTATCTTCTCAAGATCAAGGAAGGCAGATTCGTTGTGGAGGAACACGAACGGGATGTCTACCTGATGGAGGCGGGTGGAAAAGACGTTGCAGACTTGCTTTGAAACAAGGGCTTTACTGTTACTACTACAAAGGATGAGATTCTATTTACTAAAATTTCATTATACCGGCCCCATGTTATGCTCATCGTTCTAGTCCTAGTCTCTTATATCATCATCTTCACTGCCCTATCCGCCTTTATCAAAACTCTCTTGAAATTGGAGTCAAAATATCGAAGACCGTCCACAAGCTAAGATAAATGTTAAAGAAGGCAGAAAGAAATGGGATCAGAAGAACAACAAAGTCCTCAGTTTGAGAACACACTAGAACAGAGCTCTCTATGGACTTTAGGCTTTGGAAGATATTATGAGTATTCCGTTACTGACCAAATGAAAGGCTACGATTCAGATTCATCTCCTAGATATTTGGGGCCGTCTGCTTAGACTTGATCTGAACGAACAATGTCGCCCGTGACATGCTACCACCAACCATCATCAGTATATATTACAGTTTTCTTGGCACCACATAGACTAGCCATGCGTGCAGCCATCAGCGGCTGTACTTGCTATGTTATATGTGTGGCCGGAACCCTCCTGGTCCTCCAGATATCGTTTTTCAGATGGATTGATCTTCGTCTTGTGCCAAAATTGGGACCTCAAAAGCTGAACAGCACGTTTCGCATTGTCGGCTGTGAGCAGAGGAACCGTCCCAGGTTTGCGCTGGTGGATGGCACGTAGAAAAGCACCGCACAAATTCTGATCCGAATGTTCATACCAAAGCCAAGGCAATGGTATGAGCGGTTGGTGACGCAGCCATAGTTTGGTTGACAGTGCCAACTGAGCCAGAACTGTCCTGCATGTACTTGAGGAATCTTGCCATCGAATGGGTAGCCAGTCATCCTGGCCCCAATGGGTAGTCAGAAACCATTCAAGTTGGGCTTTGGTAGCTTGCTTGATGTTGAGGTCTAGTGTTGGCTCCTGTGGGTGGCAGTGGATGACTTCGGTGTGTGTAAAGTAATCATTGAGGCCGCTGCCACCGCTGGCATAGCTGGATGGACTACACGATGCCTCTTGTTCCTGACGATCTCCCTGGCCAGATTCATCTGAATTTAAGACCGTGTCCCACCATGAGGGACTCGACGGGCTGCCTTCCTCATGATAATCGTAGTAATCATGCGCCGAGCTCGACATGTTTCAGGGTAACGAACGTTGACAATCACTATAAAACCTGGCGCTTTTTACTGAAGAGAGTCCGAAGGCAAGATCGGTACGTTGGTGACGATATGGCTGGGTCTCGGATGCGTTGGGGAGCGAGCGAAGGCGTGAAGAATAAATGCTTGTTCAAAGCTACGGGTAAATGGCGAGGTTTTATGAAGGCCAAAGGGAAATCCTCGTATTGACAAGATGCACGAATGCGAGCCCGAGTTATCAAGCCAAAATGGGCCACCTGCGATGTGATATGAAAACGAGACTCTGTCATCGACTTCATTGGTCGATTTGTTGTCTCTTCCTCCCTGTTCAAGCGACAATGTATCTGAACAAAAGCAGTCAACATGCGGTGCGTAATTAGACAGAACTCGGGGCGAAAGATTCTCTTTTCTCGCTCGATTGAACGCGACTATTTCGGAGGCATGTCTTACAGCATTGGACCTATCGGACCCAGCTCCGCAAGCTAACTTCTCAACCAGTCAAATGGCGACCAATTCACTCCGACAGAGCGAGGGGCTATGGATGAGAAATGTTTATGTTTCAACATGACGAAAGGGGAAGGTTCGGCGATGGAGACAAAGTGAAGACGGCCTGCTCGCTACTTTCGGCGAGAACAGAAGATCAGCAAAGATAAGCAACTTCCCATTACCCCACCGAAGGACTGGGAGGAGCCAGTCGGAGGGATTGGGTGAGGTTACACAACATGCCACACTCACACACAAAACACCCTTGCAGGCGGTGCTTGGCTGTCGCGCTGTCCGGTCATAATCGATGGCGAGGCTTGAGACACACCGCTGAGACCTCCAACCCCCTCTCCGGTATCCGGCGCTGAGACCCCTGATCCGCCAAAAAAAAAAAAAAAAGAAAACCAGTAATCAGTGCGTCATGCCTTGATTCAAAGCATAAGTAAGTGAAGCAAACTATTCCCGGCTTACATACAGCCTGCCGTGGTAGCAATCTTATGCCTGCCGGACCTGCGAGCTGATTACCTTGTAATTCTCATCACCTTTGGATGTTTTGACGAGAGACAGCCAAGACTCCAAGCCTGGCTAGTGATATGGTGACGCGTCATCAAAATAGACTTTACTCGTCCAAATTGTTACAGCAGTGGTACTTCCAGCACCGATGAGTATGTTTGACCGAAGAAAAGACAACGTCAGAACACTATCTACATTGGCTGTTGCCTATACGAAGCCATTCTAGTTGGTCGTGGGTCTCTATAACCGTTATCGTCGGGGCAGCCGTCATTCAAAAACCCATAGATTGAGGCTGGTAAACATGTTTGCCAGCTACTAGCTACACTTCTCTCCCCTGGGCCTTTTCCTAGCACTCTCTATGATGCTTTACCCTTTCACTAATCAACTTGAGCATTGCTCATACCCTAGCAGCTGAAGAGAAGGACGATATCTAAGGGGACAAGACGTAGCAGCGTCATAGGGCAATACTTGCTAAGGGTCAGTGAAAAAAAGGCAGTTGCTTTAGTCCAATCGTTTGGGCCTTTAATGTCAATTAAGGGGGTATGCTCAATACACTGCGTCTACTCAAAATTCATGTCCTCAAGCTGCACCCTTCGTTTCATGGCATGAAACCAAGGATTCTCCCCATCTGAAGAGAAATTTGCGATGTTATTGCTTCAAATGTGACTGTTTTCACATAGCAAATGTCTCTCAACTAATAATCTCCGTTCTGAACGAAGTATTTGTGAGAACATATTTGTGGGTGGTTTTGCGGGCTTGAATGATCATCGGTCGAAGGGATCAACAGGTGCAAACAATACGGACTCGAATCTCAAACAGCCGCATAAAGACAATACAAACAGAGAAAAGAGAGAAGAGGGAGTCTGGGCAGCTACAGCGACGCTTCCTCGGTAATCTTGACCCCGGTTCTATCAAGACCCTTAAAGCAAAAGGCCCCTTTCAGAGGCTTGCCCGTGCTTTCAGCTCCGCACTCTTTTCTGTGAGGTGGTCAAAAGCAATAGTGCCCAGCACAGACATGTCGCAGAGCCCCGCTTCGTTGCCTGCGGGCTGGTTTGTGTCTCAGTCTAGTCCCTCATCAGTCTTGTCTCGGCCATGAGAAGCCTGAGATTGGGGCTGCGCTCCTCACTGAAAATGATATGTCGCTTCTCGCCCTTGTTTGGCTATTCTTCGTCCTCTGATATCCAAGATTATATATCTCAAGGGCTCAGCTACACACCGCTCGGTATGCGTTAGTTAGTCATCCGATCCCTGGAGTGCCAAGTTTTCACGTGGATCGTTGACTCGTTTTGGGGTTCCCGATCGGCCTTGGTACTCTGTGTTGTCTTGGCCGGTTGAAGAGAGCAGACCTTGGGCATTCAATGACTGGATGGCCATTTTTGTCACTGTTTGATCACCAACGTCCACATCATTTTGCAACCCATTATCATTCATCTAGTCTTAAGGTAAGGTGGGTTGCAATCTCTACCGAAAGTCCTCTTCCTGAAAACACTCCTGGCTCCGTGATTTGTTCATCTGAGTGAGAGACTTAGTTGGCCTTGCCCTTCTCAGCCCCGAATTGGATGCAGTACTCCTCCCACTCGTCACCGCCAATTTGCTTGGCAGATGAGTTGCAGACCTGGACGTCCTTGTCCTTGACGCCCTATTGGTCCACGTTAGCTGGAGTGTTATTCAACGTGTTTGGATGACAGTGCTCACGATCTCACAGTCGGGGCAGATGTCCCACTGCTCATTGCCGGTGTGCCTCTGCTTGTACTGGGCGCAGGCAGCCTGCGTGGCGTCGGAGTTCTGTGATTGTTAATTTCAACACAATCTCACTCAGAGAGTGCGTCCATACCTTGGGGTCGTTGTCCTGGAGACCGTTGGTGACGCACCAAGCTTAAGTGTGAAGGTTGGCAACGGCGCTATATTTTCAAATCAGTCCATATCCGTAAAATCGTGGCTTGTGCCTCCCAGTTCAGTGAGGTGATTTACCCAGTGGCACAGGCGACGGCAGCAAAGAAGATAGTAGAGAACTGCATCTTTGTGGTATTGAAGGTGTTGATTAAGGAACAAAGATCTGAAGAGAGTGAAGACTTGGAGTGAATAAATGAGTTGGGACTATTGGTTTATTAATGAATGTGGGTGAGTGACTGAGGTGAAGAAGATGCCATTAAGTTGGCGGCAAGCCTCTTTATTTATACACAGTCCTCATGGTGCCGTTTTGCGGGCTATGTGAAATCATTGTTCTATTGACTCGCGAACATCTGGATAAATTGCTTCAGCCTCCGACGCATAGCCCTCTCTCTCTGAACCAAGAATGATTCGACTCATAGTCGTGAAGTTCCACTGACCCACCGGACTCTCTCCATTCTATCTCCATTCCATGGCTGGAGATCTCCGGGTCGGATGAGATCCTAAAAGGGGGTCAACACAAGGTGCTGTTGACTGAGCCTTATGTACAGCTCAAGGCTAACTCGCTCGATCTGGGATGCTCATGGGGTGGGCAGGGGTCCGTCGTGTACTGAGGCTGGTCCACAAGTTCGACCCAGCTGGACTATTCTTGACCCTGGCATCAACATCTCTCCACGAAGACGTTGTCGAGACGCATTCAAATCATTCAGAGACTCAGCCTAGAGAAAATACGTGATAGTAACTCGTGCAATAAAAGCGCGACGGGGACCTTTCCACTAGCGACTTGTTGAAAATAGCTTCCACTAAACGGACGTCAAGATCCCGTACACATACGATGCGAATTAGGGTCCAGTCATCTGAACACCGACTGTTCATGCGGCGGACATGCCTAAATCTCCTGAACTACTTCGTACCAACGATTTCTAGAGGCTGTGGTGATACGGTGGTAACATAGCCGCATTTGGTGGTACCATGCCATGACAAGGTGGGCGTGTTTGGGATGTTCGGGAATCGTGGGGTACACAGGGGTCAAGCAGTCTGCTGCCCTACCTTGGTCAGACAAGATCGAATGAGGTAGGCTTAATTCTCATACTTTCTCAGATCCGACAAGTCTTGTCTGGATCATTGTGAGGACACCATGTGGACGTGCGAGTAGACATCAGCACTATCCTACTATTATGCTTGACGGTGATGGAGTTCCCTCTTTTGGTTTTATCTCCGATTCTTGTTTGTTTGTTTGTAGGGCTACAGCGGGTCAAAACCGAGAAATATCTGAACCGACTATCTGAATAGACTATGTTTACTGTAGGGTCATGCGTAGAAAGGCGCCAGAATGTTCGAACACCGGGCAACGGCAACGAGACCCGCGGCCCCCGTCTCCGCCATTGTGGGACCCGAAGACCGGAATCACCGCCAAAAGAGGTCAGTCCCGCGTCCGTGAGCTACGGCATGTGGCGCGTCAAACGGTATGTGGGATGGCCGCCCTGAAACGACAAGGCCGACTCGGTGCTTGCCGATTGTGACCCGGCAATTGAGATTACGGGTCATGCGAGAAGTTGCCGATCCCGCGTTGGCATGCTCCACAGCGGAGCCGATGACGCTATACAGGGACAAGAACACTTCGCGCCCTTCCGCGAGATCCAGCTGACCTGGAGTCTTCAACCTTACTCGTGGACTGGTGTTAGCTCAATTAGCGGTCGGCATCAGCAACATCCCAGGAACGAGAAGAGGCGAACTATGTGCGTCTCGTCGGAGAATCATTGCATCGCCATGGGGGCTCGTACAAGCATTGCTGACTCTTGCTGACTGATGAGATGGTGGAAAGCTACTGGCAACTGTTCACTGGAAAAGGAACCGTTCAAAACTGCAGTCTCCGACGAAGGCGGCCAATACCACCTCATAAATGCATTCCGCAACAACCATGGACGGCATTATGCCTGACTGAGGGACATTATTCAGAGACATCTCAAGACGGTAAAGGTGTGTACACTTGAGTAAACGACCTTTCAAACCAGCACGACATTGGTCCGTTTATCCCAAGCCAGTAGGCCCTCATCCCACCATGGTCGAATCCCCTGAAGCGCTCCGCACGGCTCGACCGTCTCCACTCGGACGAGAACTGTCATATTCACTCCGTAAGACGCTCCCTCAGCATCCTGATATGCATTCTCAGCCTCTCGTCTCCTCCCTGCAGTGCTCCTGCTACGACATCTTCCAGATCTTGGATGATGTTAGAGATCTCTGCGGCCGTGAATACAATACTGCCGCGTAGGCCCTGGGCAGCTGCTGTTGATGTCGAAGCAGGCGAGCTGGGGCTTTGGACGGCATCGTAAAGTTCGAAGTCTGCAGTGGGAGAGGAGAGAGGCGGAATCTCCGGCGCCGTCATCACGTCATAGATGTCGTAGTCCCACGGGCGAGCATCTTTTGTGGGAGTACTCTGGAAAGTAGGTCTGTCATTGAGGGGCTCCTTGACCGCGGTAGTTTTGCGCGGGGTCTTTGCAGAGGCCTGGAAGAATTTTAGTGACAAGAAAAATAAAGCCAATTGAATACTGTACAAACCCTAGAGCTTCGCGCATGGCCTGAATGTCTTGGATGGCGGATGGGGGTAGGTGATGCGGGCGGATCACGCAAGAAGATTGAAGATGTTGGCGTAGGCGCCGCGAGAAGGGTCTTGCGACGCCTCTTGCAACTCGAGGCACGTTTCGAGGGGGCCCCAAGCGTGACAGGGCTCGTGGCGAGTTCATCCTCCGACGAGCATTCAATCAAGGCGTGGTCCTTCTGCGGACTGGGCGCAGGGGTAAGTTCGGCGCTGCCGGTCGAAGTCGTATTCTCAAGAGAGACCATTATGGATATATTTGAACTCGATGAATGGTATGAAAAGGAACGGTAGTGATTGAGATATCGTAACGAGCAGAAGGGCTGATTATTTGGGGGTGGGAAAAGCCTTGTGTGTTGCGGGTAGAACGAACAAACCAACTTTTGGACGATAAAGTTATTTTTATCTCGGGTTTTTTTTTTTTTTTTTTTTGCACTTGACCTTTCGTGAAAAGCGAGCGCAGCAAAGCAATAGTGTGGGAGCAAAAGTTGGTTTCCGCACTGATGACTGAGTGTCTAGCAGCCGCAGCTCGTCAACTTCAGCTGCCCCAACTACCTACCGAATATCAACTCGAGCACAACGACATCGCCATGTGAAAACGCCCAGATCATCAACCCTGCAGTCCAGATGCCCATTACAGACCTGCTACGATGTCCTCCTCTTACGTTTATCAAGAGTTCGCTGCCGCGCCGCTCTCTTGGCTCTGAGTCACATTCTCTCTCTGAGCACGCTTTCTTCTGCTGACCAACAGAAGATCGATGTTCTTACGGTTCTTGGCGCCCAGCACCGTCCTGAGCAAGCTCTGAGGAGGCTTCTTGGACCGTGACGACCGGTGTCCGCGTGGCCTGGTGGTTCCATGAAGAGTTAGCGTTTGTCGTGCCTGCAGAGATAAATCGATACCGACAGTGCTTTGATATCCCGTGTGTCAGCTGGCACAAGCGAGGCAGCCTGCTTCTCGGGCCTGACATGCTTCTTTTCTTGTTGTTTCTTAAGAAATATCTTCCTCTTGCGGCGGATTGCGGTGATTCTTGTTTTGAGCTCAAGTCTTCGACGTGAGAGAAAAGCTTCTGCTGCTTTGGCCTGTTCGACATCGTTCTCCCACCTCTCCGTCCACTTCCCGAAGGCACTGCTGCTGGTCTCCTTCATGACGGCGTTGTGACTTGCGAGACTTTGGTTGGATCGTTCGAGATTTGTAGGGTCGAATGGCGACAGTGCTAGTTGTGGGATACTTATGGAAGGAAGTCCACGACTTTCGCTGTATTTGGAAGGAACAGAGAATATGGGTCAAGGTATTTGTTATGCGGCGACTGCTCGTATGCATGAGCTTCAACGCTCTAGCAGAAGTCAAAAAAGTCGGAGGGGAAAGTTGGTGCGGTTTGAAATCTGAGAAAGGAAGATCTTGAGATAGTCCGTTGCGCGTCCTGCTGGTCGTTTGACGGGAAGGTGGGAATAGCTCGGCACAGTAAACCTATGTTGTGCACTGTGTAAATATCCCTGGGTCTAGTGACTTTGCTGCTCGCGCATGTTTCTGCCCCCCCTCCTCTTTTAGCAATATCTCGATTGGGCACAAATCTTGAGACTGCCTGAGGAGTCGCGCAGTGTGTCTGTGTACTATAGGCACCGTACGCTTTAGAATCCACCACCTTGACTCACAGTGCCAGAGGAGGCAAGTGACAAAGCACTAGGTAAAGCGCAGATCAGGAAAGAGAAAGAAGCCTACCTAGAGAGGAAGGAGCGACTTGGGTCGTGTCCTCGCTCTTGCCCCCAATTTGGAATTGCCTTCAAGTACTTCACTGAATCACGTCACCCACTTCACTCCAGGTCGCTCGCAAAGGTCTCGCTCAGATTATACTCCCGTCATTTTACAAATTCGTCAACGTCAGGAAGATAAGCTGGAAAACAATCGGCGGCAGATTTGCCAACGACGACATCATCCCTACACAGCATCCTCACTCGAAAAACATCAACATGGTCCGTCTCATCACCGCTTGCGACTCCTATGATGACGATTTCGTCCTGATCTCATATCACGACCACGAGAATTCCTTCCAGCAGAAACTTCAATGCCCGGGAAGGTGAGGAAATATCCCAAATCCATCCGTCGGACCGTCTCTCCGAACTTTTCTGATGATATTCAGGTCCAACTACACATATCCATCCCTCAACCCAGATAAGAGCGACTTCGACAGCGACCAACACAATAGCGCAGATGGCAACACTGACAGTCCCATCGCAAAAGCAATTCAGCTATCTAAGGCTCTCGGCCAGAACAGCACCGCAGCACTCGCTCACCCCGCACTGACCGTCACCCAATTCCTCCAAGTTGTCTAGAGCATGACTTGCAGAATGCGTTACGGCAACAAAGACGAGGACATCTTCAATGATGATGAAACAGACTACGATAGTATTTTTGAGCCAGATCTTTTATTTCGAGGCCATTCTGGTCTCCGCGGCTTATACTTGCGCCAGAAGAAGCCACTGGACCTCGCATGCGATAATGGAGATGTCACTGGCCCATTGGTTACCCCACAAACCCCAACGCAAAGCAAGTTCAAGCAGACAACGAGAAAGATCAAGGATTTGGGGTTCAAGAAGATCTGAATGCTAAGCGCTGCACAGCACAATTCAGTCCATTTTCGATTGAGATCTGGCAGAAGACGTCGGCTTGGTCAGGGGGTCAAGGGATTGTGCTACGCGCACTTAGATCGATAGTTTCACTGGACATTGGGAGCTGAAGGCACTTTTGACATTCAAAAGAGAGATTGGGACTGAATCAGTTGTATCTATCTCAGAGGCTGGTTGCATCACGAAAGACGCAGAAGTGGCCTTGATTTAGATTCTCCAAAGTTCTAGATGATTCATCAAGAGTCACTGATTGACACTGAACCTCCCCTTTGAGCCCCATGTTGAAACCGCTAGTGGTCTATTTTGCAAAGAAATTCACAGCCGAAGCATCCCCATTGCCAAGGTAAAACACCAAACCGATTTCACCTTCATCACCTGGAGCTGCATCTGGAAGCTTCCATCCCACGGATCCAAGACTACTCCCACCACATCCTTGAGTATAGCTTATTAACACATTTCCCGAGCGCCTGTTGAAAGCAACGACCTCTCTGCGTTCTTTGGCCGCTCTTGTCCGCAGCAGGTCGCAAACCTCTCGGAGATGTCGCTCCACCCGAGTCGAGGTTCCAAACATTGTCTTGTGTGGACGTGTCAGTTACCAGCACATTGAGACTTTGAAACATGCGGGAGGAGGGTAAAATCGTACCTCATCGGCTACCAGGGCCATTCGTGTTGTTATGACGTGGTCAGTAAATGACTCCGAGTGCTCAATCTCACGCAAGCACCTTCGCTTGTAATGCAGCGCTTGATGTGTGAATCCTGACTTCCAGCCCGGAGCGCGGCCGGCTATATACCGACAGGTCAAGAGAAACAAGCTATCGAGCATGCCGCTGTCCCAGAGCGCCGTTTGAACCCAGTACATCGTGACGCAATGCCAGAACCTATCTAGATCTGATATATAAGACATCTTTGGATCAGGAAGGTATGACATGGCTTTCAGCACTCGATGCTGAACGACTAGACCGTAAGGTTAGAGGAAAGAAGCCCAGATTCATCCTGAAGCTGCCACTTACAAACCCTGATCAGCTTATCCTCATTTGGAGCCAGTGATCTAAGAAACGAATCGAAAGGGTCGAATTCCTTCGGCCACAGTATGGATTGAAAATATTGTTGAGGTATGGGCCCTCGTTGCTTGACCAGGGTCTTCGAATTTGGCTTTTTGTCATCCGAGTTCTCACTCTCGGGACGAGCATGGTGACGCTTGACGGACTTCTGCCGACGAGCATGGACGGTCCGAGCTGCGTGGGAACGGATCGTGGTAGCGCATGCTGTTATCTCTCCAGGATGAGAAAGAGATACAAAGACAAGGTTATTGGCTATGTTCGCTGACGCCGCATCCTCGCTTCCAAGGGCAGGCATGGTGGAGATCTGGCACAGCTCACAACTCACAGCTCACTGTGTGAGTTGGTGGCAGCGTTTGGCGTTCTGGGCAGACGAGCGCAGGAGGGGATGTCAAGTGGTAGGTTGTTGTTCGTCGGACCGGGCAATCTTATCCAATAAGTTGGGGCTCAGCTTTCAATAACCAATGGGCAGGCCTATGATTGCTCAGTTGTCAGGGAAAACCAACCTGTGTCTATATCCGGACTCCAAGAAGGGGTGACTGCGCCGCTTTGCGGCATCCTAGCCTTCTCAGATTTCTGTTGGTTGGCGGTTAAAGCGGAAATATCCCTGCACTAGCTGCATACAAACCATAACAGGAAGTCGCTCTGAGCAATCAAAACGCTGTGTTACCCTCGATATAGCAGATTGACCTATCTGCGATCAGTTTCAAGGTTCTGGGTGGTCTCGCGACATGTCCAGGCGCCCAACGAAAATTTTCAGTCAGGTATTAGCGTCGGTCGTTGGACACGTCACCTCTTTGTTGTTTTGTTTAGGGGTTTGAGGTAAAGAAAATCGGCACCGCTGTGCCAGCTGGACTGCGTTCGTGACAAGAATAGGACCGATCCGGAACAGCGGAATGAGCGAAGTAACGAAGACGCCACGGTAAGCAATGTCGAAATGGCAACAGAGCTAATGATCCACGAGAAATATCAAATGAATTGATTGGAGCAGTCGGCAGATCTGCATAAAGAAGCGAGTTGCGTGATTCAGCGGCACCAAATGCGACCGTCTTCTAAATTCCTGATCGATGATCGCGAATTCCAAGGGAGCTCCACGACAGTATAAACCACCAGCCCAGCCAACCAGTTGCACATGATCCCCACTTCATTGAAAGAAGTTAAAGGGAGTTCTGTGTTATCACTGATCAGCGACCAAACTTGAAGTCAATGATTGGGCATATACTTACGGTGAAAGGATGTATGAATCAGTCCATCTCAAAGAGATATCTTTCCTCGCAGTCTTCGCATAGCTCCAATGACGTAATACGCCTGCTGGCGTTGCAATTGGCGTACTGGTTGACGAGCGAGCACACCCGACGCATGTTTATCTCGTCATTGAGCGTGGGCTGTTCCCACGGTCGGCGAGCATATTGTACTACGAGCTGGATGATGCTCTGTGTCCCCCCGGGGGCATGCCACAAGGAAGTGTGTCTCCGTTGAAGCTGGTGAAGCGCGCACGTTGGACAGCCCTTGTGGTCGGGGATTAACGAAGTCACGGCGGGCGCCGATGTGGATGCCGGCAGCGGTGACGGAGCGAGACCGCCTCCAGTCGCTGGCGAATCCGGCACCGGTACCGGAACCGGAACTACGAGCGACCGAGAGGCATCGGGGCTAGAGCCCGGGCCGTGGCGGGAGACGGGCCGGTTGGGTGAGCACTTGAGGTCGTGCAGCGGGGTCGCGGCGTTAGCTTCAGACGGTGTGAAACTGTCCCTTCTCTTGGTCTGTCCGCGAGTGGAAAGCTGCTCGTTCTCTAAGCGTCCCATTAGAGTCAATGGCCGGAACCTGCTGCAAAGGCAAAGCAAACGACTGCAGGAAAAAGTTCTGGAGGTCGAGAGCACATGGCCCCTGAGTGCAGTTGGGTCCACAAGTAATCTCGCTTGTAAGCATCCGTCTTCGTTCTTGACCCACCCTGTTTCCCTCCGTGAGAGCCGAGTAGGGATTGTCCCTGGGTTTTGGCCAACGACTCAAGTCCAATTGCCAACCTACAGTGACTGACAAGTACGCATATAAGCAGGATGCAGCTGTCGTAATAGCTTTCGAATTGGATCGAATCTACCTGTTGATGGGCTCTTTCTTTCTTTCTTTAGTTTTTCTTGTGTTGTTTTTCTCCATTCGGCGAAAACATTCGATAGTGGTTTTCGAGTTCAAGCCTGTGAACAATGAACAATGATGGTCTGTCCGCATTCCCTCGTCCTGGCAAATGCTATTCATCCCGATTCGGGTCTCCGATCAAGAGGCACAGTCTAGCGCAGGCTCGTGGGCAGAAGAGACTTTGGTGTGTCCTGGGTTCATTACTACTATACTTCAAGAACAGTGGGCAGATCATGCATGCTGATCATCCAGGAATACCGTTTGCAACCGCAAAATTCTTCGTTGTCCATGAAATTGTGGATGATTTCTCTCCGTACATGAACGAAATAACAATGGAAAGACTAACTTCTGGATGGGTAGTCACGGGCTATGGAATACCTCATCCCCGGAGTTGAACATTGTCATTTCCTGAATCAACATAGGCTGATGCGAGTGCGAGAGCATAATCAAGTAACGAAATAGTTGTGCAGTGGGCTCAACTCTGCAGGATGCCATTTACTGGATGTCTTTGAGGGCAGATTCTTGCAAACACAGTCGCTACGAATACTCAATAAAATAATTTATCTCTTTCAAAGAGGACTGAGTCCGAAACAGCCTGCATCACAACGACAAGACTGTCTGAGAGAAACCAGGTCACGACAGTGGAGCGCCTCGGCAACGAAACATCGATTGGGAGATTTCGGGAATGAAGAGACTTTCACTTGCCTGTTTTGTTCCGAAGCCTGGACCCCAAGATCTAGGACAGGGATGTGTAGGACGGTCCAGCTCGCGTCCCGCGCTCTTCAAAGCCGGCCAGGATTCGGATCGGCTCAGTTCCATGGGGCAAGGCGCTTCACCCAAGCTCGGGTGCCTTCTCCGACTTGCGGCCCGGAAGCCCGGTGGATCGATCGGCGGGCGATCGCGCACTAACCTTGGTGCTGAAAGCGCGCTGCGAGGGGCAATGGACCAAGGATATGGACGCAGTGTACGATAGTACCTTAAACTGGGCAAGCATTGCAAAAGACTGGGCAGAAAAAACGAATAAAAGAGTATTTTTTCATCTTCACGTCCCCAAAGCGAGCAAGCGACTGAGTTACGGAACCTACTACCTAAGGTACCTACCTACCTACCTTTACTGAGGGTACCTCCGTTAGTGTCCCGTCTGCAGCGACTCCGAGTCGGCCCCCACGCAGCCGAGCCAATCAAGGTGGCCCAGACTGTCGCGCTATGGCACCTTATCATGGCCCAACGTCACCTGCCCTTTTCGTCTGTTGTTACGCTCACGAGCTTCATCTCCGCCGGTGCCGGACAGCCGCCGTGTGTATCACGCGAACGCGAACACCCTCATAAGCCCCGCGCGTCCATGGTTCTCAATTGCGCCAAGAGTCGAGCCACTGTACTCCCGCATCATCTTCACCCTCGTTCACCATGTCATGCGCAGGGACCCGTCTGCTGAGGGCCCTTGTGGTCGGACTCGCAACGGCGGCATCAGTCTACGGCACCGTTCTGCAGGCCCAGCCCGCATTGCAGCATGAAGCCAAATCCATCGGTTCCCGAAGCCCCGCCAAAGAGAATCGTTTGGCCAGAATGGGGAGGCTTGCCTACGAAATGGATACCGCTGCCGCTGCCGCTTCCGCTTCCACTCCCGCCCTTGCACCGGCCACGACGCCCCTGCTGGAGTGCTTTCAGGTTGCTCAACCTGTTCTTCATGCCGAAGGCGAATCTGTCACCATAACTCTGATGGACCACCAGTTCGCCAACAGCTACGGCTCCCCATTCGTGGGCGACTACACGCCCCCTGACATTGAGTTCGACCGCGTCGTCGTCAACTTCACTGTCGAAGTCAAGGGCCGCCAATTCGACCGATGGGGCACCGTGTATCTAGACAATGTCAACATCTTTTCGACTTCCACCGCCGAGCCCACTCAAAACGGCATTACCTGGACTTGGCGGAAGGACGTCACCCCGTATCTCTCGCTGTGGAAGGATCCCCAGACGCTGATTTTCCAGCTCGACAACGTCATCACCGACATCTACACCGGCTTGTTGAACTCTACCCTTACCGCAACATTTTTCAAAGCCGACTTGGAAACCGAGCAACCACCCGCTGACCTAATTTTGCCGGTATCCGCCGCGAAGAGCCCCGTCACCGCGAGCTTTTGGACTTATCCCGAGGAGAATGCCAGCGTCGCCCTAACTTTTCCCAGAAATGTGAACAGAGCTGTGTTTTCGGCAAACGTGAAAGCTCAAGGCAATGACGAGTTTTGGTGGAGCAACGTACCACAATCTGCCGTTAACGCATTCGAGCCAGACGTTGGCACGTACCCGGGATACTCGCCGTTTCGAGAAGTGCAGATCCTGATTGACGGAATGCTAGCAGGTGTTTATTGGCCGTACCCAACCATTTTCACCGGTGGTGTTGTGCCGCAATTACACAGGCCCATTGTCGGCATCGATGCGTTTGACTTACGAGACCACGAGATCGACATCAGTCCCTGGTTACCGCTGCTATGTGACGGAAAAGAGCACACTTTTGGCATACAGGTTGTGGGGCTCAATGATGACGGGAAAACGGCAACCTTGTCCAACACCACAGAAAGCAGCTGGTATCTCGTCGGCAAGGTCTTCTTGTGGCTCGATGACGAAGGAAGCATAACAACAGGCGTTCTAGGTAAGGCTTCTACAGAACTAATGATTGGCTTTCAGCAAAGCCTGAGCCAGAACGCAACCGGCTTCAATCAGACCTTGGACTACACGATTTCCGTCAAGAGAGATTTTGGAATCTCTTCCGCACTGAAAACTCAGAAAGGAAACAGCACGGCCACATGGTCTCAAACCTTAGAATATTCTAATGCGGGTGGATTGTACTTGAATGGATACGGCGGTATCAATACCTTCTTGATCACCGGGAAAGAAGCGGCAAAGTTGACGGGACGGCAATATGAGACGAGCTTCTCATACCCACTATTTTGCAACACAACGACGCAGTATCTTCCGGCGGGAAACCTAACCCTATGGGCCAGGCTTGACCAAGGCCTCAAGATCGAGATGAGCGGAGATGGAGTCTTTCCCACCGGGGCCGAGGCCTTCAAAGGCGCTTGGGTCGGAAGTGTGCTGGAAACAGAGAGAAATGGAACTGCCAACTACTCCCGGTATGGTGACAATACTGTGACCACCGGGGTTGGGCAGACCAGGCAGCTTTTCGGCTTTAGTGGTTTGGATGGAAAGACAACGAAAGAGTTGTACTTCAGAGATGTGAGCGCATTCAACAACACTGTGACAGCGAACCATGAAGTAGTCTACACGTAGCTCTATAGAAGGCAATCGGGCTCCTTACTATCTACGGTTACAACAATGTACGTACTCGTCGCTCCCACCGTTCTTCGTCTTGGTAAGAGGGCCAAGGTGCCAGAGTCCGCGAAGGCCAAACAACATTGTCTGAATCTCTCTTAAAGGGAGCCTCATAGTCACCATCTATCCGTCCCTGGGAGGGTTTCGAGCGCCAGGAAGCGTCGTTTTCATCGCCGTCCTCGATTTCTTGGGTGCTTCTTCTCGGGCGACTTCGCAGGGTTCTTGTTGTTCCGGTCGTAGACCTAGACGTCAGGTTGCGAGATGTGCTTGCGGCGACTGCCTGACTGGCGCTAATAGTAGAACACGGTTGTCGCAGCGCGTACCTGCAGGGCGACTTCCCGCTTTCAAGTTGTCCCGTCATCGCGATGGAGGACTTCAAACTTGAAGTGGTCGGCACTCATGCTTGACTTGGTCTTGATCGCACCCGGTGGTGCGCTTCGCAGAGCACAATCGGCGCCTTCTCGAGAGATCTAGTTAGCAATTCACGCGAACATTAAAAGAAAGCATGGAGAAAGCAACCTTTGTCAGGTGGGGTGTTGCCAATTGGTTTTCGCACATTGGCGGCTTTTGAGGGGGAAAGAGGTTGGTATCGACAGACTGGTTGCAATCGATAAGAGGCGCGTGGCATTCATCTCAGAACAGATAAACAGAGTTATTAGTGACTCGATGACTGAGAGAAATATGAATGCTTCGAGTAGGCAAAAATAAAGAGGGCACAGAGGAAGCGGCCATCGGCTCGGCCGTGCAAGGCTCTTTTGTTTGCGGATGCTCTCAGGGTTTTCGAGCTGCGGCTGCTGCTAGACTGCCTGATGCCGCCACCTTGACACTGAGGACGGCCACTCACCGCTCTGCGGAATGTATAAGGCATTCTGTAGCTGAGAGTCAAGGCTTGCTGTCGGTCGTGTCCAAGAGAATGTTAAGCAACTGACACGAAGCTCCCCAGTCTACTGGAACCAGATGCGTGTGGTGCTGCGAAGGTCCACGGGCGGCCGCACCTGAATCCAAAACTGCTAGGCCACCCATCCTACCTGTCTCCTTTGGGGACTTTTCGGCTGTGCGGTAAAGTATTGAAGACGGTGGGGAAAATTCGACATGTATTACTTGCTCTTAAAATGCACGCTACACAATGTGTGTCCCTCGCAATCCCGGCTCCAAGCACAAAAAGCAATGGTCCTCCCAGCTCTGCCACTCCCATGGATGGTCAAACAGCTTCACTAATGGCTGTCTTCTGTCTTCTTGTCGTCACTCCTCGGGCCAGTCTCGGAGTTTGTTGTTGCTGTTGTCGTAGTCATCGTTTCTGTGTTCTCCTCGTGCTGAGAACCTGTCAGCGAGCTTGTTGTAAACGTTGTATGGCGAGAACATACGGGTTGGATAGAAATTTCGGTCGTGACAGTGATGCCGGATAATCCGGACAAGAATCCTCCTCCGCTGTGCTGGTGCTCCGATTCATCCGCAGCGTTCTCTTCGACGTTGGTGGTCCAGCAGCGCGACCGCTCCTCCGCGCGCGTGGCCTCGTTCTCGGGGGTGGTGGACATAATGGGCGGAACTCGCAGGTTGCTAGCTGATTCTGTTAATGCAGCTGCTCGTACGTTGTGGCGGAGTCTGGTCTCACTGATTCTGCTGGTCAACTGCTGAGTGCGGTTCGGCAAGGACACGTCGGTCAAGTCCACAGTCTTCACGTCTGTCCAGTTCAATAATACGTAGGTCGGTAAGGTCGGTAGTGTCGAGGATGATGTTGGCAGGTTTTTCAACAAGCGCGGCTTCTCCACGGGAGCTTGATCGGCAACGGTTTTTGGCCCCGGCCCGTCAATACCCTTGCAGATCGAACACGCAGCGGCCACCGCGAGGTTCGTGTCTGGCCGTTGGAAAGGGAGAAGCCGCTTTCAGAAATTCCCACCCGGCTCCATTGCCAAGTTAGCGAAATGAGTTTCCAGTCTCAACCCCTGATCAGCAGCAGAGAACCCCCGCAAGTTGTCTCGTTACCATCCACTCAGACACACTGGAGCTGCGGGCGGATTTGATCCCAGCCAACGTTTCCCAACGGTCGACGTGCGGCACCAGAATTTGCGGAGTTGAGGCTCCGCCGCAGCTGTTTGTGTGTTTGTGGTTGGCCGATGTCGAAATGGGGCTCTCACTTCCCACTTCCGGGCCCAGAGCCATGGAAGGGTGGGTGTCCAATGACAGCGGGGCGCCCTGTCTTCAAGTCTTGGAACCAACCGCCGGAGATGATTTTTTTTTCACCGAACGAAGCCAGGCTCGAGACGGGAACAGTTCCGAATCTCCGGCCAGAGCCAGGGCATCCTGTGAGGTTCCGCAACCTCCCGACTAGCTTCGACATCCTTGCCGCTGAACGCCGCCCGTGGTTTTCATCTTAATTACGTATGCTCGCCACGAGAAACTGCCGCAGTGTATCCGTAGATTACATATATCTCACCTGAAACAAATTTATCCTCATTCCTATTTGAGAAGCCGAAGCAACCTGGCTTGGCGCCATCATCTCCAGCTACTTATTACAACGGTTTGCTTCAAGTTTGCTTGCGTCGCATTCCGTCAGACATCTCGCACTCTGATGCTAGAGTTTGCCGAGAGCGGCTAGTCCCCTTGGGTCCTTGACAGTGGGAATGGGTAGGGGTCGTTGGATGAGAGTAAGTGAGTTCTGACCAACAAGACACCGCCGACGGCAAAATAGACTTTACAATTACATGACCGAAAGCTTCACCGCTACATGGCATGAAGTTGTCCTCGTCGCCGCTTCCCCTGGCTGAGCTGCAGTTGCCATGTTCTCTTTGCGATTGACTGCCACTCTGTCATTGAAACGGGACCTGAGTATATGAATACAGCGCAATGCCAACTGCTCGTTTCCTGAAGTCCATTTGCAGGCGAGCAACTGACTGAGGCAGCTGCTGTCAGCCCACTCCGAGGCGAGGACTACAGCTACTTCATTCCAGTGAAGATGGATCGCACGCATGAGTGACTGGTCAGCGTCGCAATCATCCCACTTTCATTTGAAGTACATATCGGCACCAGCGCGTATCAGCTCGGACACCACGTCGGCTGGAGGCGCGCTGTATACCCTGCCAGCCAATGCCCATCCGCGTCGATGGTATAAAAATGTCCCAAAAATTGGGGGACCGACATCAGACTCGATGGGTCTCCTGGCAATGAAGGGATGATGAGCTAAAATCAATCGGATCAGCTCCAACTCTCCCCCATCCAAAGCCAGTTCCCATCCACGACCAATGGATGTGCCGGCTTTCAGAAGAACGCCTGCAGTATTTGTTCTTTGGGAGGCGATTGCCAACTCAAAGGGTGTGAAGTTAGGAAAGGAATCGTAGTCATCTTGAGAGCTGCCCACTGCGGCGCCAGTGTTGACATTCGCTCCATGGTCCAACAAAAACTGAGCCACATCGTCGGCGCCGGACATGGCAGCGGCATGAAGTAGATTGATTCTGGCATTCCAAAACGCTCGATTGACATGGGTCCTCGCTCTTTGACTTCGTTGCATGTGGAACCATGATGGTGGTTCCAGTTCCGCAGTATAGATTTCCGCAGCGACAAAGACTTCTAGACTTCCCGCTAGGTATCGGCTTCTCGAACTAAGCGCACTGAGAACTACTTGTTGGATATGGGCGGTTGTGCCTTCCAACCCGGCGGTGCCACTGGAATCGATGAGGCAAAGGACAAGCCGTGGCAGCATGTAGGAGAAGAAGAACTTCCTATGCAAGACGGATCCAGAGGGTGCTCGGAGGCTTCGGCATGTCCGCATGATCGATATTAAGTTCGTAGGTTGAAGGCTATCCAGGACAATCTCGATCAGCTCAGGCGGCATTTTCTCAAGGGATGTTCTGATGCCATCCATAACTGTTTGAGGATACCGAGCCTCAAACGTAAGTGATAATGGTAGAAGATGGACTAGGCATTAGGGCAACAACTTCTGGATTGTCGATGGCAACCTCCAGAACGGGGAGAGTAGAGGAATGGGAGCGGGGAAACTACGTATATCTAGCCCAAATTACCAGCACATGACATATTTGCGTTACACAACGCCATGATGTAGAAAGCAACACATTTATGCTGTAAGTTTTGAAGCCAAAAAAGCAGGCTGGCCTCTGTATGTCTTGGCTGTCTCGGAACGAAGGCAAATCGGAAAGCCTTATTCTTGGACCCAGACACTAGTCATGTTGTGCAACAGTGCTAGGCCGGAATCGAGAAACAGACATACAGCTTTGTGCCACCTAATGGATGACCAGATTGCCGACGAGCAGCAGTTAACAGCTGTTAAAGTGCTTACACCACGAGTAAGCGATTTGTTTTCCTCAAAGAGTTGAAGTTTTGGGCATGGCTTGATCTGATGAAGTAAGTAGCGGCAGCAGAGATCAACCTTTGCTTAAGTCCGCCGTCTTTCTTTGAACCTCCCAGGGCTTGTAACGTTTTTTATGGGGGGCTTTTTTCTTTTCTTTTTTTGGCATAGGTCTGTTTGCTCGCCAGCACACCTGCCGTCTCTGAAAATTCGCAAGGGAGGTAGGCTTGGATATGACCCCACAATTTCAATATCATCTCCCGCTGCGGTGGTATCGATTCTTTCGTCTGCGATCTGAAGTACGCCAGAGTCGTCACAAGAGTGCTTCATATACAAAAACCAGGCTTTGGGGCTGTACCTACCGCGTTTCGCTACCGTCAACTGCCACAAACAAATCCCCAGTACGCGCCATTCTGTCTGTGGGTTCGAGCAGCTGCATTGACAACATCCTATCCGTAAAGCCCAGTCCTCAACAAGCCAACGGCCTTTCTTCTTCCTACACGACCTCACCTATTAAGCCGATTTCGAGTTTGCCCGCCAATCTCATTATTGCCAGGCGACTTTGGAGCGCCGTACTTCAAACCCCTACTTCCCAATCGGTTATCACAAAGGCACTTCGTACAATGTCATTCAGCCTGCCATTGCGCAATGAGAGAGCAAAGCAAGACTCGGGTGTCCCGTCTCCCAGGGCTTGTAAAGAACCGGGAAAAATTGACCACTCAGCAAAAATGAGGAAAGCATGGGTCACCCGAAGAAAGAATCAAGCAGCCAGAAAAGCCAACGCACAAGCTACTTCGACGAGTTCTCAGTCAAAACGTAAGTTCTACCGTGCTCAATGAGTAGATTGCTAACTTTGGATAGCTGAACAAATTCGAAGCATGGGGGAAAGCGACAAAGAGGCTGACAGCACGGTGTCCGATATTCAAGAACCGGCTCGTCTGATGGTTACGTTCAATGTCCGGGAGATCATGGCAAGGATCAAAGCCCGATGCAACAGCAACAGTGAGGCAGAGCAGCCTCCACAGATCTTTGGACGAGAATCAGAGATAGAAGTACGTCTTCGTTCCATACTAGGGGCAACGCAATTGACACGGGCAGTTCCCAGCGGAAATATCCCAAGATCGAGTCGGTGAGCGCCGCAGAGGCTCTCAAACTTTGTGGGATATTCTCAATCGAGGGGTCAACGTCATCGACTCTATCGCCTCTCATCGTATCGTCTTTGCTGACGGAACTCATAACATCCAGCTCTACGCCGTTATCAAAGGAAACCACCTATACCGAACCGGTTGGAAGACGGAGCTGGAACTGAGTTGGATCGCCCTGTCTGAGGTTACTGCATACTGGGCTTCATTCCCTGGAGGACGCGATGGCGCTATCAATTCAATCAGCCCTATTTTCCCGAAGAAGCGAGTTCTCGTGGTTCTTGGCCATCGCAAGAGACGCTACGGCCGGCTTGAGCTCAAGGTGCTGTACCAAGGGGTGGCTCCAAATCCCATCTGGGTGGAGGATTGGAAGGTCCAAGTTGGTCAGGATTTGGACGCACGCACCATGAATGACTACTGGAAGGCCATCGCCGTACAGCCTGGACCGTACGGTTTGCAAGAAGTTGTGGAGGAAACAACGCTGGAGCTCAATAATCAACCAGACTGGCCGATGACCATGGGGTCTTTATGAAGTGGAGGAATCAAGGGCATATGAGCGTCTTGTCTTCGCATATGCCGGGCAGGCAATTCAGAAGCACAATTTTGGCGGAGCTTGTAGAGCATCACACGACATCGGCTGCTCAAAGATCGACTTTGCTCGCTTGCCTCCCAACAGCATTGCCTCTCCGTAGCAATGCAAGAAACTTCACAGGGCTCGGCTAAAGAGCATTCACACTTGGTCATTTAAGGAGTGCACTGTCTTATTGCGGAAAGAAAATTTGATTGCTCTGTTCATAATGCGCATCTGGCGTCATCGGTCCCATTGACAGATCCTTCAGACCTTGTGCGGGCGTGGCACTCATGAAAAAGCTGTCACCATAATGGGTCAGTTCGGGTGTCGAGGAAACTGGCCTTACAAGCAGGTGCGACTCACTCCCAACAGATTTCAAGCGCGTATCTTTGAAGCGACTCATTCCACTCGATCGAATGGAGATTGGCAGGACTATGCACAACTGCCGACAGACGCTTGCTAGACCGTGCCGCAGGTGCTCAGTTCAGTTTGCGATCGCCGGCCAATATGACGACCGTACGAGCTGCACTGGAGAAGACTTCCAAGGCGCTGGCGAAAGCCGGCTCGGTGTCCTGCAGGAATTCGCTGTTCATGCTGGATTTAGCGACCATGCGCGAGAGGTGGACCAGCTTCTCGGTAGCTTGATCCATTGCCATCACTGTCAATATGTCAGAAGACTTTCTTGAGAAGGGGTGATTGCCTTACAAGAGCGCATCGTCGAGTCAGATGCTTGGGAGGAAGGGCTCGGAGGAGCGTCGTCAACAGCCGCGGTGGATGTGACAGGGTCGTCCTTGTCCTTGTTCTTGGACTGGTTGTTGGTACCGTGATCCATCGTCAGCTTTCAGGTTTGCCGCAGCTGTTGTTGAGAGATGTCTTCGGAGTGACTCTGGTGTTGAAAGCAGCAGAAACCGTGATAGTCAGCTGTCGCAAAAATGGCGGAAGGGAAGTTGTTGGATCCAAGTTGCCGGTAAGACAGGAGTGGGTTAGGCATTGGTGAGAAGCTGGGGTCCATAGCCTAGGGTCTGCACAGTTACCACTTCTGCCCTCCGAGTCTGCTCGGGAGGAGACACCCCGCTTCAATCAAATTTTGCACTGCGGAAGAGGTTGTTAGAAGTTGGCACCTCATGCAGGGCGTTAGGTACCTTTTCTGAAAGAATTCCCTCCTGGTTTGATCTCACAATGAGATAATCCTCACAGAGATATCACTCATTCACCCAACGTCTTCTTTGTCCTAATGTTGATATTGAAACTAGCCATTGTATGTCCATGCAAAAGTTATCTTATAGTCATTCAAGTGGAAGTTTGGGATTTGCTATTAAGCTTACTATTCATGTTTCTCTGGAAATAATCGAAATGGTTGTTTAGCATTGGTGCTAAACACGACAGGCCCGCGGATTCCACAGTATATAATCACCCTGCCAATGCAAAACCGGCGAGTCTGAGCCGATTCCAACTCAAAAATAGCCGCGACACGTTAGGCGAGGATCGGCGACTGCTGCTACACATTCACTCCTTGGCAAAAACATATCGCACTCACCTTGCATGGGGCAACCCCCCCAAACCTACTCAGTATTCTGATTTCAGCAGCTGGACGTGTTCTTCTTGCAGATGGATGTACGCGTGATGACCGCAGAGTGCCCGCCGAATACGATATTGCGTCAGACAAATAGTTTTTCGTTGTGGTCAGGCTCACAGAGTTTCTATTCAGCGATTGAAACTAACACATGGGGTTGTGCTGCTATTATAAACTATATTGAGTAGAATTTCTTGGAACTTGAATTATTTTCTCTTTCATCTATTATCGTCTGCTAGTCATCAAAGTCCGAAGCTCTGCCATATCTTCGTAGATCATTCAAAGTCGTTGTGCCAAAGTCAAAGTCTTTAAACTGCTCCTCCAGTGTGCGGTGGGCGGGACGTGGTTTTCTCAGCTGTTCATCAAGTTCGTGGGCCTCGGCCATTTGCACCGTGAGAGTCCCTTCCGTACTTGGGTCTGAGGCCTTGACGTTCTTGTCGGACTTTTGCCGGGAACGTTCTCTGGTCCGATGGAAGCTAAACAAGGGACGGAGTGTTGGTAGGCAGCAACATATCACCGCACTTGAATAACTGGTCAATAGATTCCACCTACGTTGGCAATTGAGCTTGTACACGTACCAGTATGCCTCCAGACCGGTCCAGATCATTAGATCGACTGTTCCCCAAGTCGGATCTTTGAAGTCAAATGTTGTGACTTTGACTAGACGGATAATGGTTATAAAACAATTGCTAACCCTCATTATCAGAAGCCGTGTAGAAGAGCCAAGGTAAAGTTACGCGCTGGACCAGAGACATGACTTACAAGCCGCCAAACACAAAGGACATCAACAAAAGCATTTTCTTGTACCATGACATCCGCAATTGTGCCGCATAAGGCATCGGAAGAATGATGAGAATGAAATCGGTGATGATACTGCCGACCGCTATGCTGATATAGAGTTTCGAAATATCGATGCAGTTTCTGTGGTTTGTCCAGAAGTTTGAGACAGGATTGCAGGCCAGAATCAGCGGTAGTGTCTGGTATAACCTTGTCAGCGGGCTTCCTACCCATCGCTGGCCAGCCACTCCAATTGAATTCGCCAAAAAGTGTGTCCTTGACAGTTCGTGAGCAATGCAATAATGTTACTTACAGCGTAAATTGCCCAAGCCATGATGAAGGCCATCAAGCCGTACAAGTAGTATCGCGCGTTAAAGAGCCCAAATATTCGATGGTATAACACCACAAGAGATAGCCTCGCAGTCGCCAGTCCAAACGGGTACAAGATCTCGTTCGCGAATATTGTTTGGTAGAAGTAGACAATGTTCATCGGATCCTCCTCCTGAACCACGACTTCGTGTCTGCCGAGACCGAATCGTAGCCAAAGCATGGTCCCGGTGAACACACCAGCGATGAAAACCTGTAATGTTTTGGTTAGTTATGTTCTAGCTGAACCATCCAAGTCATTCCATCTCAGGAAAGCGGCATGATGTTTTGACCGCAGTGGACCGAGAGGTCGTGGTCGGGCAGAAGAACCTACCAGGCTTGCTATAGCCAGCCAATCATCCCACGTGAACCTCCTCCCCGACACTTTTGCCGCAGCTAATCTCGCCAATACGGAGATAATTGACAGAAGGAAGAATGTCAGATGTATCGCATAGACCTCATCCGCTCGACTCTCGGCTCTGAAGGCCGAATCCTCCTCCGGGGTCATGGAAGGCATGCCTCAGCCGCGTCCAGTGACCGATAGAGGCAATTGGATGGCTGGACAATCCGGTCACCATTAGGGACGCTGTTGGATTTCAGTTTCGATGAACGAGCGAATAAACTGTAGGTAGGAGAACACTAGAAGTCCTCTGGAAGAACTCCTCGTAGTTTTAACACATGGAAACGTCGGTCTGAAACGGCTTTCCGGTGGTCTTTGCTGGTTTACATGAGCAGAGTTTGGTCATGGCATTACCTTCCAACAAAAATGGAACTTTCCATCCGAGCCTATCCCAGAAAGGTATATCGTAACAGTGCCCACGATTCATGAACCGACTTACCCCAAGAAATCATTTGACGGGGTTAGGATTGTACATGCAATTCAGGGTAGCCGGCAATGTTAAGGCAGGCACACGCGTTCCAAGCCACGGTACTTAAACTCGCGAGCCACTCGGCATGTTCGTCTTTCGTCATAGCTCTCTTCCCGGCGGGAAGGTTCCAACGGAGAACGACTAACAAAGGATTGCCCCTGTCAATACTGAGGGGTTGACTTGAAGGTTGCTGACTTCAGGATTTAGTTTTATCAATGATGCGCGCACCAGCCCTACTTCACGATTCATTCGAATAATAATCCACTAGGGTAGAGAGGTTGCCGTGAGAAATCATGGCAGGGAACGGAGAAACTGTTTGGTTTTGCGCTTCTGTGGTTAAACAGGGATGACCTTCGAGACTAATTCTAAGACTCGCTTCGGTGCGACCAACCTGGTTGTCAAATTCGGCAAACATTTCGCTTCCGAGCGACAACCAAGATAGGAAAGCGACCAGCGAATTCACATAGCTGTAGCCTCGTGAAAGCACAGAACTAATACAATAGTGTTTGCTTACACTCCATCACTCTCAATCGTAGTGAGGATCCTAGAAGTCGAAAACGCGCGAGGGATTGATTGCATTACGAGAGCTTATCATTGTTAAGGCCTCCACGGGTAAGCTCTGCATCGTCCACTTTATTACCCCCCAACCGGCACTGTCTCGTCTGATACACAACAATACGATACGCTACAGAGATCTCAATGCTCTGCAACACTCGCCTACATGAGACAAACGTCAGTGTTCCGCAAGTGACTTTTACTACATCACATATATTCTGCAACGCAGACATTGATCGAAACAGCTACATGCAAGACAAGATTATGCAGTACACAGAGCCGCAGCCTTTTACATTCTAATTACGTTATTGGCCATGAATTCCAAGCAGCTCCCATGCCTCAGCAATCACTCGAAGCGATGAAGAACTGCAACTGCCCGTTTTTGTCAGTCTTACATGTTGCCAAGAGGTGATGCAGTCTACTTGTTGGGAGATGGTAATTTGCAGTGGCAGCAGCAGTGGCAACATGCAATACTAAGTCCCTAGTTGCACGGATTGATTCGACGGCCTTTAGTGTACGTCGATCGCCGCGGATCAATAACAGCATTGCTTTTCCTTTGTTTTGATAGACTCGGGAAGTGCAATGAGTTGTTAAGTCAACAATCTTCCCCGCAATCGAGCGATCCTCACCCCAGATGCGTAGCTGTGCGCCAAGTGAAAGCCCCAACAGCGTATGATGGTTTGAAACCCCGCACTCCAGGAACATCGGCTCGAGTCGGCAAACCCCCCGGTCCAAACTCAGCTACAAAAAGGCGATGGATTCTCACGTCCCTCATCCTGCACACAGTCATAAAGATTGAAATGCGGAATACAGACGATCACGATAACCAGATGTCGGCAATTAAGTTTGAAGGATGGCTAGGTCTGGGTCCGGACTCTGCGACGGGAAAGATGGAATGGGGGTCTTTTGAACCAAAGGCTTGGACCGAAAATGACGTCGATATTCAAATATCCCACTGCGGAATTTGCGGATCTGACTTGCACACACTCCGTTCTGGCTGGGGCAAGACAGACTATCGTAAGTCTTCTGCGTCTTTGAAAAGGAAGAGAAGATGCTCTTCTAACTTTCTTCCAGCATGCTGTGTCGGTCATGAAATTGTTGGGAAAGCCGTTCGTGTAGGCTCGAATGTGCGCCACATTCGTCTTGGTGATCGCGTTGGGGTTGGTGCCCAGGCCCGGAGTTGTCTCCGGACCGATTGCCCAGACTGTTCTCGCGGAGAGGAGAATGCCTGCGTGCGAGAACGTGTCGACACCTATGGGTCTATCTACCCTAATGGTGAAGGGAAGTCTATGGGTGGTTATGCGGACTATAACCGCACCAACGGCCGCTTCGTATTTAAGATTCCCGATGGCCTGCCGTCCGAGGCGGCGGCACCAATGCTATGTGGCGGTATTACAGTCTACGCACCTTTGAAAAACTACGGATGCGGTCCCGGAAAGACGGTGGGTATCATCGGACTTGGCGGATTAGGGCACTTTGGAGTCCTTTTTGCCAAAGCTATGGGCGCCGACCGAGTGGTAGCAATCTCAAGGCGACGATCGAAAAAAGGCGATGCACTCACGCTCGGAGCGGACGAGTATATCGCGACTCTTGACGATGAGAAATGGGCCAGGAAAAACAGGAGAACTTTGGACCTTTTGATTTGCACAGTCTCAAATTCCGATATGCCTCTTCAGCAATATCTGAGCTTGTTGAAATGGGGAGGATCGTTCATTCAAGTTGGGTAAGTCTACTTTGAATGCACGCAATAGGGTGTGTCAAAAAGCGACATTTGGTTACCTTTAACTAATACGTATCTTTCAGATCTCCTGATGGAGGCAAGCTTCCCGAAATCAGTGCCTTTACACTCATCATGAATAATATTCAGGTCGGTGGCAGCAACATTGGGTCTGTGAGTCAAATCCAAGAAATGCTGGAGTTTGCTGTAAGGCGAAACGTCAAGCCTTGGATCCAGACGAGACCCATGAAGGATGCCAACCAAGCAATAGTGGACATGGAGGATGGAAAAGCGCGATACAGATATGTGCTGGTCAACGAAAGACATTTCTGAGTTTCAGGTGCCTGATACTCCTGAGACTTGCCATGATGAAGGTCTGCTTCTCGGTCCTGAAGCCTAAAGGTCAGGTCCGCGGCGAAAAGAGCTTCGGCCAAGGCATGTTTGACAACATAATCAGCTTTCAACAGCAACATGGAGAATGTATATAAACTCATCTGTAAGGGAAAGAAAGACAATTCCCGCCAGCTTTTCTTAACGCCCCACGCACAGAATCCGTGGTTCAACGTCATGAATGCGTTCTCGTCGTCTGGGGCTGGCTGCACAGTCGGTGTATCCATGTTTCCCCTGTCATATTTCTTGGAACTAGACGAGCTTGATTTTGTAGTAGAGAATCTACAACTGCGTACCGGAGAAGCATGGAAGGCTTATCGCCGTCTGCTTCAAGACCATATGACTGCTAAGGTCCTATATGAAGTAGCCTCCCCGAACATTTATATAACCTCTACCCGACTGTTAGATCTATGGGCATTGAATGCGACATTGCTACTAGGAAGCCCTTCAGCGTTGGAAAAGACATCTTCTGTGCAGCCCTCAACGCTGTCTTTGATTTCGGGCCCATGAATTCCATGGTGCATGGTGGAAAGAGCACTTATTCCACCGATTGGAAAGCTCTTCACAATAAATGACGAATACATATAACAACTTCATGAGACTACTGTCAAATAAGATTTTATCACATTCCTGCCAGCATCAACTAATCCAGCATTTGAAGCCACTTTTGAAGCAGCAGAGAACGTCATAGGAGTTACCTTCGGCAATTCTCTCGACACTGCGTGATGGTTGATCTTGATCGGCCTGAAGCCTAGCTTGCAGCAAAGGAGAAGGGCAAGAGATACCTTTCTCAAAACTCAAATACTGGAGGCTGCCAAACGACGTCAGACACAAGAGATGAATGCCAGCACCGTGGCGAGAGAGGAAGAAAGACAGCCGGTGTATTAGTGCCAAATGCAACGTTAGAAACATAGAAGGGCCAAGTAGTGTTGCAAACTCCTGTTCTGGTGTTCTATTATTCTCCTGCCTGCAAGGCCTCCTCACCCTTCTTCCTTCCATAACTACATCTTTTGCTTTCAGTCAGGCAACAGGTGGTCAGCCTATTGTCACAACAAATACGACAGCTGAAGAGGGGAACCTCAGGCACTTCACCGCCCCTCATCATCAGATGTCAAAGTATTGGCTCTTTGGTTTGAATTTTCAGTCTTGAAGTTACTGCGTTCAGATTTCGCGACCCCTTGCAAAGACACCACACTGGCGAAGTGGTTGCGCCTAGCGGCTAGCCATCTTGCCTACCGGGTATTGCCATCGTCATCGTAAGGAATCGCTTCCGACGCAAGTCGCCGCGACACCTGCGCACCTGAAAATTTTGTTTTCACACCATCATCAAATACGTCAAGATGAGTGGCAGGACGACGCCCGCCGGAAGCAATCGTCGTCGGACCGTGGAGCGTTTTCACCCATACCAATCACCTGCTTCGGCTCGGACGAACCGTGAACGCTCGAGACCACCTTCTACACCTCGCCGCCGCCTCTTCCAATCGACCCCAGAAACATCATCATCATCAAGCTTGACGCCTCGACAGCGACGCGCGGCAGAAGCAGATGCGTATCTTGCTGATTTTCTCGTTGGAAGTAAGTATCCATCCATCTTTCCCTTTGCTTTCCTGGAGGGACAAGTTCCAATTTCTCTGCTGACAAGCATAGCAGCTCCAGAAGAGGGCCATTCCGAGCTGGCGGATTACGACCAGTTCTTCGCTATATCCGGCCCGTCAGCATCAGAAAGCTGTCATGAAACCTCGGCAGCCCACAGCCCTTCTTCTAGAACCCCAGCATCGTCAACCACGGTTCGCCGATACCACTCGGTTACCTGGTCTATTCGTTCTCGTGAAGAGTACATCACCAAGGCAACGGTAGATAGAATTCAAAGGTTTACGCGGTTCGTATTCCATCCAGCCTCGGTGCGGATTACACGCACTCCCGGCGATGGCATCATAGAGCACGGCGTCCCTCAGGCGGAGACCAGTCTGTACGACGGCATTGATGTGGCTCTCCAGGGACGATGGGCCATCACCGAGGACAAAGTGTTGAGAGTAACCAGGTTCTTGAGAGCGTTGACAAATGGGTGCGATGTGGAATGTTTAACGAGGGATATAGGTGTTGGTGGGGTGGAACTTGAAGACGAGGTTTGAGTACGTTGGGTCATGCCCGCCGGGGGACGCGCCCTGGACTCGCTAAACACATGATGTGCACCCATAATGCAACGTTTCTGGCTCACTGTGCATGTCATGCTGGGCCCGAGACATGTGAGGCACATCTATGCCGAAGCAGAAGCTTCTTGACACGGGCTGGGAGCTGTCGAAGCTGGAATCAAACGGACCGCTGAAGATTCCCGGCGGGAACCGCGTCAGCAAATGGTGCTTCCCAGCCAGATATGTCAACCGGTGAGTGCATTGCTGCATTGCCAAGGGTACATGCATGCAAGGCCCGGGCGTGGTGTCGGTGACTGCGGCTTTTTCGGCGTGCCGCCTTGACTGATTGAGGTGACAGACAGACAGCCCGGCTGGAGGTGAAGATGGCTGGTCGCGGAGGACATTTATTCTTCTCGTCGCTGTATTCGCGTCGGCTTGCGCTGCTTTAATTACAATCCGAGCATCCCGCAGAACTGTCCATGATGGCAGGGAAATCGCATTTGGACACTGCGCGTCGCGGGTTATGTGGTGGGCATTTACAGTGCGTACACTACCATCCCGTCATTGTCTGTCTGCATCGCAGCGTCTGCCAGAAAACCGGACTGACCCACGTGTACCTAGAACGCATCACGCCTGGGATCCGCGTCTGCCTCGGCGATACCAGCGACTCCGGACATCAAGGGCAATTTGGGCGGCATGTACGTCTAAGCCGCGCTCAAGGAAGATGTTACAGCTGGTGGTGCGTCTCCGCCGGCGTTGGCCTGGGCTAGTCACTATCGAGGCTCGGAAAACCCGTCGGTTGATGAGGCGCCGGCTCTCCTGGAGGATCATGTATGGCTGGGCAATGAAGGTTGTCGGCGGCGGGTTGGGGGTTGAGTACGTCGGTGTCGGGGATTCTCTTCCATAGGTAGTGAGGTACCTAGGCAATTAGGTATCTACCTACCTTACCTACCTACGTGCCTACTTCCATTGGAGCGTGGGTCGGTCCCCTGAGAAGGCGTAAGGTACCTCCAGTCTACGGTACACTGACTGGACGCGTTGGCTTCACAGTGTTTCGCCCCGCCCCGAACGCGCATCGGTCTTCCTCTCTACCTTAGTGTACCACCGCCGCCGCTGCCCTTTCGCTCTGCGTCCCCACTCGGCCCAGCTTCCGTCACCACAAATGCATCGCCTCTCTGCACCGTATCCGTACTATCTTCTCCTTCCACTGCTGCATCTCGTAGTCTCTCGAGCGCGACCCCTTCCCGTCGAATAGAGGCATCGTTCGAAGCCGAACTAGCCTCGGCGTCAGAAAGCACTGGGCTATAGTGGCCACCAGAGCCAGTCGGGCTTGATGGGCTGCCAAATCCAGTCGTAAAACGAGCCCTCTTTGGCGGTCGGCGAGGTGGCGTCTCAAGGGGACGAAGAGGGCTCGGCTCCTGGGCCTCGAGCCCGGCAGCGGCTCTGGACCGGCGAGGCCGCCGTGGAGGAGTCTGGAAAAGGCGACGCAGAGTTCCCGGCGTCTGCTCTTCAGTTGTCGGGATGGTCGGGGTTGCGGGCAGCGGGGTGGATGGTCCAGGTCCAGGTGCCGTTTCAGTCGAACGCGCAGGCGTGAGACCGGTCTCTTCCTCGGCCCGAGTGCCGGAGATGGGTTTGGTGGGTGTGTCCTGCCCGTCGTCCATTGCGCAAATAGAGCAGATAGCAGCACAATATCTCTTTGCTTCGTGTTTGGTCTCTGCTCGTGCTCGGCCGACTCTGCCGAGTGATGCAACTTTCGTCGACCATTGGGCGGGATTAATCATTGCGAGGGGGATGAGCTCCGCGAATGCCGATCCATATCCGATGCAACCTTGCCCCGCACGCGTTTCTCCCGCCGCGCTTTCCTGAGCGCCATCCGCGTCTTCGGGAACTAGTAGGGTGATTAAATAACCAGCGACTTCAAGATGTGGCTTTGATTGTACCGGGTATGAGGCGTTAGACTGCATTGATGTCATGTTTGCGCGCGAGGCAAGACAGCAAAGGGGGGTTGCGGATAACTTGTAGATTTCATTTATCGTCCCACTCATTGCCGTTGTCTTCCACCGCCAATTCCTGTTATTCTGCTGATCTTGTCCGTCAAAGCAAAGCAAATAAAGCCCGTCCACCACTTTTTGAATCCTTCTTACATAGTTGAAAGAACCGGCCAACCGAATGCAAACCCATCTTCATCGGTGAAGACGGTGTCATCGACGCTAGTCTCTTCACCATTTCTGGTGGGCAGGAAGACGTGTCCGTCGAAAGCATCCTTCAAGCATACTGTCTCGAGTTGCTGGCATTGCTGAAAAAGGTCCACAGCATTGATGACCAGATCCTCATTGAGTGGATGTGTCTCGCGAAGATCATCAATCTCATCGAGGAGTCTGTCGTCAAAAAGACCTGGACGGGGATAGACTTTGGGAACAGTCGTCAGAGCAAGATATCGCAGATTGCTGAATTGCTTGAATATGGGGATGAGCGCCTAACTTTGTTAGTTTCGCTATGTCGGCGGAACTTCAGGACTCACTGAGACTCTGGTGTTCTTCAGCTCGCCGTCGACGAGAAGCTTCGGGACTTGAGGGAAGAGCTCGAAGATTTCCTCAACGTCATCAGTCGTCCAATTGTCCTGCTTGAGCTCGAGGGTCTCCAGCTGCAACTTCGTCGAGTCGGCTTGCAGTCCAGGCGTCTTCTTGGGAGATGTCTTGACAGTGACACTGAGCACACGCAAGTTGATGAAAATGCTGGGGACGAAGTTCATGGTAGATGTGCTGCCAAAGGTCAAGATTCGAATGGATGCTAAGACGATGTTCTTGTCGAGAAGTTCCTTACGAAGAGGGCCTGAGAGAGTCTTGTTGCCGTAGCAGAGTCTGAGTGAGAGCTCCTCGAGGTTAATCATCTGTTGCAGAACGGTTGCCAACAGAGCAGGGGTTGCTGCGTGACAGGGACCACTGGCGGAGTCGAGAAAGTTCCAGCGGGATGCAGGTCTGTTGGGACCGTCAAATGAAAGAGAGAGATGTCTGCAAATATGAGCATCAATGTATGAGGGCAGAAGGTGAGGGCAGCGACGCACTGTACGGCGGACCGGATGGTAGGGTTCTTCTCGATGACCTGCAGGCTGTCAAAAAACTTGTCCTCGTTGATCCACTTTCTCATCCGCCGGAAGATGTAGGGAATTGTCAACAGGCGAAGCTTTTATTGACACGGGAGAGAGCTTCGCGCGCCTGGCAGAGGTTGATGATTTCGAGGACAAGCTCATTGGGGAGTGTGATGAAGTGGTTGGCTGAAAATTGAGGATCCTTGCTGGCGCGATCGCACAGCGACGTCTGCAGCGACTCCATGTCGGTGTTCGGTGTTTCGATCAAGCTGGCGAGAGAGCGTAACGAATCCGGGTAGACGGGCAGACAGGCTTTTGGCCATAAAATCTTGGGAGTTGGGGGGCCACGTTGGGAATTCTTGGGAATTTGGACAATCTCGATGGATGAGAGGAGGGAAGGGGCAAATTACCTACCTGCCTAGGTGGATATTGTACTTCTGGAATCTGATTGGGGTAGTGACGGGACCTGAGAAGGCCAACAAAGAAAGGAAGGTGCAATGCATCCTGGGTACCTCTTCTCGCCTTCCCTGCCTTTGCCAGCTTCCCAAAGAGAAGGCGCAAGATCAGAAGCCATCAAAGCAGGTAGCACTTGCCAGATCCACATTATTGAAAACCGTTCATGTGAATTGACTAGAAACTAGGTAATTTCTCAGTGGTTGTTGTATCCAGTCCATATCATATGGAAATATGTTGTGAATTAGGCTTTGGATGAAGTAACTAAGGTACACAAGAAAGGTCTGCAGTGTCATCTTTGTATTCTGATGCATATTCCAACCGCATGCTGCCCCTTTAGAAAGCCTCCATACAAGTTCTGAGCCAACTGCAGAACTTTCACTTCCTGGGTCGTACTAGGATATGTTTCGTTGGGTTTGGCAGAATCTGTAGGGTTGAAAGTCAGTGGCATGTCTTTGAGCATTGCAGCTAAGTAATGCACCATGACAGATTGTAAAGAATGATTCACATACATATTGACCTGAGTGGAAATCTTGATATCTTTCACTCGCCCCATCTTCTGGCCGAATTTCGTATTTAGCCAGGAGTTTGATGAGAAACATTTTTGCAATGGAGCATCCAGCCCATCGGCCAGGGCACATGTGGGAGGCATAACCAAAGTTGACATCGTCTCTGGTTGCTGTGCCCCAGTCATACTTATTGGCGCCAATACCATTAGACATCTGTTGCCGCAGCTCGTGGTATCGCCGCCCGTTCCATTTGGCCGGGCTGTCGAAACCTGGGTTGGACAAATGTGCTGCCGTCATGACAACTTCGAAAATTGTCCCCGCAGGAAGAACAACTCCATTCGGAAGCGTTTGCGTCTTATGAATCTTTTTCATCAGGTTGGCTATCCACATCAGTCAGCACGTCCCTGCGAAAATCCGCCCCATGTCGTGCCTTACATGCAGCCGTCGGGTGGTGTTTGTGTGTCTCTTTGCAAAAGCTGTCCAGCAACGACAGCCTCCGGAGACTATCCCGTGTAAAGTGCCAGATATCCACCTGTTCTCCCAAAACTTGGTTTGCCTCCTCGAGCACAAGTTTAGTGTAGTCAGGACGGAACGCAAACTCATACACAATCTGCGTCGTCGACGGTCCCGGAGAAAAGACGAAGGTAAAAGCAAAGCCAATCAAGACGTTGGTGAGATATTTGTAGTCACGCCTTTTTTCTTCGGGTGCCATGCGAACCAATTCTTCTAGCCAATCGTTGTTGACTGAACTCATGTCCAAGCCTTGCTCCAAGGCTTGGGCACACTGCTCGAAGAGAGGGGTGAAAAAGGCGGTCGCCCTCTCCAGCTGAGCATTGACCTTACGAACGTCACTTGAAAACGCTGCGGTGATCCGAGCTATGATGGGTCGCTGAGCCTTGAGAGCTTTCATGACGGGAATGAGTGTTGCTGAATAGCTTTCAAAGATATCCACCACCTCGGGATTGAAGTTGTTGCTAAGGATGACTCGCCATATTACATGGGAATAGACGTGTAAGATTTGCGGCTGCATGATAACAGGCCTGCTGTCTATATTGGTAGCATTGTTAGCAAAACATCTTCACTGTCATGTTGCACAAGGCACCACGGGCTATACGCCACACCTACCACCGTAAGAGTAGTCGAAGCCCTCACTAAGAACGCTCGCGATTCCCTCATCTAAAGCCTCGGAGATGACGTCCAGGTGTTTATCTTTCAATTCAAAGCACATTGTCAGCTCATCATCTTGTCTCATGCCTGGACGCCTCCACCTACCAAAGCCTGGCATCCGGGAAGCTAGATAACGATACAGATATGGCTCTTCGAAAGGAGCACCATGCAAATCGCAGAGAAAGAACTGATTCGTTAGCTATCACCCATCCAGTATGATTACACTGACCATGTCATACCTCTTTGCGAGCGGGTGCAACTTCTTCATCCTTCTTCTTGCATATTGCCAACCAATGTTCGGGTGCCAAGAGCACCAAATCTGACCCTGCAGCTGGTGAGCCTAGGACAATTGACATCCAGTCATGGGTTTATGGAATACCATCCAAAGCTGTGACTCGAAACACGCCGCTCTTTGCCTGTTTGAAACCTTTCTCGATGATCTCGACGCCATGCGCAGCGAAGTCCTGCCTGCTTGCAAACCAAGACTTTGAGCTTGTGATCTTTGGGATTCCACGATCTGAAGCCATCCATCTGACCAATATCGGGCTTAAAATGGCTAGAATCAACACGGTTGCGAGTGCTGAGCTGTTTCTCAGCAAACTCACTAATTGAGGGGGAGATTGAGTGGGGAGAGTGGTGGAGTTCATGACGGAAAAATCGTTTGCCTATGGCAGAAGCGCACAATGTCTTAGACAAGTTGAAGTTCAAAATCGAAAATCGACGGATTTCCGGAGGCGAATTGTGCTAAAATCCGCGGAGCTATGATATTCTGGACTCTTTCACATGGGCTACAGATACATAAATACCGGTACATGCGGCTGGTGGCACGGTTGAACGGCTGAGCAGTAGCTTTGCCAGAGGTTCGGTCTTAACTTCTGAAATAAGACACGGATCGCGAGTGCGGAGAAATGGGGAGCAAAATTGGGATGTAACAGCCTTCAGATGTCGAAATGTGGCTATTTTCAGATGACGGTTGGCAGACTTGACCGTGGAAACCTGCATCTCTTTGTTGCTTCGGTTGCTCCCCGGGTTCCATTGTAAACCTTCGTGATCGTATCCGCTACTTCCGACCGGACAGCTCCAACGAAACCGAGACTTTCGGCTCAAGCTCCCGGCTCCGGGCTTGAGGCTCACGAGTCGGGCTAAAAGCTAAATATACGAGCATTGTTACTTACAACGATTCGAACATCTTCAACTAGATAATCTTTCTTTACAAACTAGGACCCAAAGAGGCAGATGCCGGGAAAGCCTAGGTCGCCACGGCCGCCTCCGCTGTCTCGGACGTCTCAAGGCCATTATATGCAAGACATCCCGAGGGTTGGTGTGACATGATCCCGATTGTCTTCTGGCATGGCAAAATTGAGCCTTGATGAGTGAAAGCAACCGGGGCTCCGTGATGTCTCGTTGAACCTCGCCTGCTTCTTCCATGTTGGCGGGCTGAAGATGTTTCAAGTTCTTGTCCAGAGTGCCCTGTCCTGAATGCTCCAGTATATAAGGCCAACGGTCTGCTATCGGGTGGGTGCTATATCATGCATCTCTGTCTTTTATCCCGAGTCCATTACTTTGTTCGTTTTGTGCGATAGCCTAATTTCACAAGTTTCATACCGACCCCGGCCACTCTCCAAAATGGTTATGTCAACAAAAGACTTCTCTCCCAGGCAGGAAGACACGCAATTCTGGTGGGAAGAACTCTCCCATTCTCTTCTGTCTCTCATGCAGAGTGCCGGATACTCTGCTGAGGCTCAGGAACAGTACGCTGAGTTCGTCCAACAACTTGTCATCCCGTCACTGGGACCTCGTCCAAACATCACGAAGTCTGGCGCTCGTCTGCCTCATTTCGACAGCTTCTGTTCTGACGACTTCTCTCCCGCAGAGCTCAGCTGGAATGTTGGGTTGAAGAGGTCCAAGATCCGAGTTGGCTCTGAACCGATCGGGCCCTTGGCCGGTACGGCAAAGGACCCTTTCAATCAAGATGAGCCCGAGGTAGTCATGTCGCGCGTTCTACGCAATGCTGCCAAGAATAGCCCTGTCGATGGAGAACTTTGGGAGTTCTTCAAGAAGCACCTGCATGTCGACGCGAAACATGCTAAAAGTATCGTCTCCAAGATGGCTTCGAATGAGCATATGACAACAAACACCATCTCGTTTGACCTTGAAGGCGAACACCCTGTGCCCAAGGTTTACTTCTATCCCATCCCAATTTCCCTGCTTCAGGAGAATCACGCCGGCGAGATCATCACCGATGTCATTGGTCAGCTCCCGCTTAATCTGATGCCTGCTTTCGACTACATTCGCAACTTTGTCTACCACTACAAGCATGAACGCAACAACCAGAATATTCTGCGCTTGGAGTTAATTGCATTTGATGCGCTGCGTCCAGTTGATGCGCGATTCAAGGTGTACCTGCGCACCAAAGAGACTTGTCTCGCCCGGGTGGAGGAAGTGTACACCCTTGGACATACTCTCAAGGGTTTCGAAATTGATGCCGGTGTGGATTTGATCCGGCTATTCTACCTTCATGTACTCGGTGTATCTGCCCCCGGAGAAGATCTACCCCGCAGCATGCACCGCACGGCGGGCATTATCTTCAACATGGAATTGAAGCACAACTCAACTGCACCAGTACCCAAAGTGTACATTCCCGTTCGACATTACGGCGGAACTGATCTTCGAATCGCGCAGTCACTGAGCAATTTTTTCCGAGCAATTGGGCTGAAAACGTTGGCCGACACGTACGTCGACGCGGTGCAAAAGGCTTTGTGAGTACTTCTGTCCAACTCGGATTGTTTTGAGCTTCAGGCTAATATTCTTCGCAGCCCTAAGCAGGACTTCTCCAACACAATTGGAAGGCACTCTTACGTTGGCTTGTCATACACGAAAGATGGCCCGTACGTGACTTTGTACTATAACACAATGACGTTCTCGGCGGGCAATGAGCGGGATGACAGCGGCAAACTCGTTGGGCCCGCAGCGTGGACGCAGCGGCATTTGCTAGACTGATAGGTCTACTTAAGCTTAAAAGCACTATCTGGTGAACTCACGAGCTGCATATCTGTATGGGCGAAGTTAAAACCATCCGATGTCGTCGCGTGTAGGGTGAAACTTTATCATGATGCTCAATGTGAAAAATTACAACCTCGATAACGTACGCTAGCTGTAACTGAAAACTCTGAGTTCTCAGATCTTTGTGTTGTGGTTGTTGTAGTATTCCAAACGCAGTGGACTGCTTAGCCCCTGTCCACATCGAGACGCAAATGTAGTTTCCCATGCCACTGAAGCTCCAACCCACTCCCGAACCCGCGAAACTAGTGACAGAGTGTCACAAGCTGACATGGGTCAGACGTAACTTAACTTGGTTAGTTTTTAGCCTTTCGTTCTGCCAAACCCCACAGCCCACCGTGACTGTGCGACTGTCAAGGGACAGTTTCAGAACTCTCACAAGAGTCTATTTTTCTCAGCTTGTACTGCACAGAAAATAATGCCTCTGGTCATCATACCGGACGATGAAGGGGAAACCGGCCGGATGATGAACAGAAAGCCATCGGATCAATTAGTGAAGACCGAATTCCACATTTGGTGACCGTTGAGAACGAGCTAAAGCGAGCGAGTCCGAGAAACACTTACCGTTAAGGAGTAAGATCAGCCGAGTTTTGAAATCTGTACCGATCCGGGGGAAAGGGGGTGAGGGGGGGATGGGGCGCTCGGACAGGGCAGAAGATGCAGAGAGTGCACTGAGACTGGCCAGGAGCTTATCACCTGGCTAGAACAAGTAAGCAGAGCGTATGACAAAGAAATACGAAATACAATGGCCTTGCTTTCATTTCGCATAAACGGTCAACAATGCAAACTGGGGGCTACCATCCATTCTCGAGGTCCCCGTAAATTTGTAATCCGTGGATGTCCATATTCCTGAAGTATATGATGTGTTTAGCACCCAGGCCTCCATGCCCATGTGTGTTACTCCTCGCCCTTATCATTCTAGACGAACAACATATCAATCGTCATCATGGAAAGGCTCGAAGCCATTCCCGAGATTGTTCTCAGCAAGACGGCTCTGGCGTTCGCAGCGGCCGGTGTTCTCACGCTGTGTTTGCTCTACCGAGCCATGCTCCCTCGTCCGCTTCCTGGTATTCCTTACAACAAAACGGCAGCGACATCACTCTGGGGTGATATGCCCGAAATGATGAGACATGTCAAAAAGACTGGCGAAATGTATGACTGGCTTGGGGCCCAGAACATCAAACACCAATCCCCAATCATCCAAGTCTTCGGGCGACCATTCAGCAAGCCATGGGTCATCATTTCAGACTTCCATGAGACACAAGATATATTGATTCGGCGAGGCAAAGAGTTCGACAGATCAGAGTTTACTGCTGATGTCCTAGCCGGCGTCATTCCAGAACACCATAGTAGATGGAAGACAAATGACGAATGGAGGAGTCGTCGCCGACTTATAGGGGACATACTGACCCCGAGTTTTCTCAGCAAAGTCGCTGCCCCCCTCCTCCACGAGAGCACCTTGCGCATGACTGCTTTATGGCAAGAAAAGTCGCGGCTAGCCAAAGGTCGCGCTTTTTGGGCTTTGAAGGATATCAGCCACTGTGCCCTAGATGCCGTTCTTGGGTTCACTTTCGGTCCTGGTTTGGAAGGGCTCAGCGCCACTCAGCCAGAGGTTGACCACCTGGCATCCATGTCCTCATTACCACACGAAACAATGAAGGATACCAATGATTCTCCAGTGAACTTTTCTCACACCCCGCCAAATCCCGTTATTGAAGCGTTACTCAAACTTTCGGACAGCCTAGAGACTTCCATGAAGTCGCTATTCCCTATACTTGCACACTGGGTGCTTCGACAAAGTGCATACATGAGAACCGCAATCTCACTGAAGGAAGACCTGTTGAGACGCCAGATAGATCTTTCCGTTGCTCGAGTTCGGGCCGGGGAGAATGTGGTGCGGTGTGCAGTAGATGAGATGGTTCGAAGGGAAACCAGCCAAGCAGCGAAGGAGCGCCGAATACCAAAGTATCACTCACGAAATTTTTACGACGAGGTGAGCCTATGACCGTCTATGATTGATCACAGGGCCCATTGAGCTGAGATTATCAAAATAGTTGTATGGATTCACCCTTGGGGGTCACGAATCAACATCGAACTCAAATCAATGGGCCGTTAAAACGCTAGCGCGCCATCAGCAGCAACAGAACAAGTTGCGGGCCACTCTACGTGCTGCTCTTCCTGAGGCAGTATCAGAGAAGCGTGTTCCAACAGCCCAAGAGATCATGCAGATACGCTGCCCATACTTGGAGGCCAGCATCGAGGAACTTTTCCGCACATCACTGACAGCGCCAATGTGCGTCCGAAGTTCGACTCAAGACACGCAGATTCTTGGTAACCGCATTCCAAAGGGAACCGTGGTATTTCAGGTCTGGAATCAGGCAAGCTATACGCAACCTGGCTTCTTTATTGACAATAGGCTGCGGACTCCGGCGGTTCAGGCTGCATCGAAAGGGTCTGGAACCGGTGGCGAGGACTTTGGGTTCAGGACAGCGGATTATGCGCCTGAACGTTGGCTAGCAAAGTCCGGGGACGGCGGTAGAGATGTTTTCGATGCGACGCGAGGGAGGAACATGATTTTTAGCATGGGACCAAGGGGCTGCTATGGGCGCAAGCTGGCATATGTACAGATGAGGATGCTCGTAGTGTTGATTTTGTGGGGTTTTCAGCTTGAAGAGTTGCCGGATAAACTAAACACGACGGGCGCGTACGACAAGCTTACTAGGGAGCCCCACGACTGCTTTGTTCGACTGACCGCCTTAACTATATAGCCACTCAGCTTTTCGCTTTCTCAATATTAGATTAGATAGATTGAAAGTCCCCTTTCGTTGGATTTAACTGCATACGATGCTTGCTCTGAGCTTGCAACGCATTCAATCCCTTATCAGAGAGTGGTTGCCTCCGCGCGCCAAGAGACGCCCGTTTCTTTGATATCTTCACGGCTTTGTAGTATTCCACAACCCAAGAAGGCAATGGGCACCAGCTACTTCGGGGCATCATGGATCGGCAGCAAACGACTCGGGAGCTCCCATCGACCTTCGCCGGCGACGCCCCATCTCCCGTTTCGCCCAGCTGACATCTTAAATCGTCGAGGTATTTCCTACCGACAGGTCTTCACAAAGGCGAACTTCGGAGTTGGAAATTCTCGTTCAGAGTCTAGATACGACAGCGAACCCTGAACCCTACCATTCAGGGCCTTATTCTTCGGTAAATGGGATGAACTCAAGCGGACATCCGCTGGGCAACTAGCGCCGTACTCTACATAGAACTCAATTCCGCAACGAACGTCTGAACACAGCTGGAACCTGGAGACCCGAGGACGCGAGTCCATCGGAATAGCATACTCCAAGGCTGACAACCTTTCAGCCGGAACTCTCCACTTCGGGACCCGGCCCGGACGACCGCACACATTCGGGGTTCTCTACGGACAGACCCCAGCCTGACTTTCGCATCTTGCTGTCGCATTTTCAGTGAGTTGGTAAAGAAATCGAACTATATGCTGCTGAATAATTGGGTTGCTGAAGAGAGCCGCATTTACCACCCGTGAATGCTTCTTACACCACATCATTGAAACCAAGTTTCCTCACAAGCTGCCGATATGATTTGTTTCCTTCTACTTCTACATCTGTAAACTGTGCCCACTATTTCCCTGGGTCTAAATCTCACCTCTTCATTCTCAATGGAATGATTGAAATTCCGCGGAAGAGGCCCATTGCCGAGGATCCTGCCAACAAGCCCCCCCCCCCCCCCCCAAAAAAAAANCCCAAAAACCCCCCCCCCCCCCCAAAAAAAAAGGGTAACCTCTACAAAGCTGCCTCTCAATGGCTAAAACACCAGACAACAATATTTTGACGTTCAAAGAAGTTATTTGCTTCGAATCCCTCTACTAGGCAGCGCGTACTTGGTACCCATCCTCATCTTATACTCAGGGGCTGGGCTCGGCCCTCCCCTGTACCACAGACCCCGAGGCATCTCGCCTAGCGAGCCAGCCTTCTTGTCTCCCGCAGATCTAGTTGTAAAATATTCTTTGTCCTTCATTTCGTCACCTTCGACCCACTGGCACCTTGTGAATGAAAGAACCAGTTCATTGATACTGAAGTTACCTCTGTTATACTGCTGCCCAAGGACAGGGACGATGGCATTGGTCGCTTCCCGGGCGTAGTAGTGGGGGATCTTGGAGAAGAGATGGTGAACGACATGATCCGTGGAGATGTTGTGGAAGAAGTGAACCCCTATGAAACCCCATGGCCATGAAAAGTACCGATCCATGGTGGCGGTTGCGCCCAGGACGAATGTCCACTCTTCAGGGGTGTATTTGGGGATATCAGGGTGGGTGTGGTGGAGGTAAGTGATCATGACTATCAAATATTGCAGATGAGTTAGTGAAGGTCGTTTTTTTGCTCGACTTTACTTACCAATCCAGTGATTAACCCACATCCATGGCGCAATCCACAGCCAGAAGACATCTGAAAATGTTCCGGTGTACTTGTACAACAACCAAAGGCCAACGAGCGTGCTAAAGCATCCAATATCGGAAGTAATGACGGCCGTAACCTCGGAACTCCTAAACAAGGATCCCCAAGGATCCAGGTGGCTATGTCGCCAGAATGGCATTCCTGGTTTAATTACGGCAGACGGCGCGCACGCGATGTTGGTCAGGACATACCAGACCCAGCCGACAGTCTGCTGCAGGACGATTCTGAAGAAAAGCCAGGCAGGTGCATCTTCGCCAAGCTCGTCTAGCTTTCCAGGCTCCAAGCTGAGCTTGGCTGCGTACTCATTTCGAAGAGGCGGCACGTAGTTGTGATCTTTCTCCATGTTTCCAGCGTAGATATGGTGACGGCGATGGGTCGACTTCCAGGAGAAGTACGGGGCAAGGAGAAATGAGTGAAGAATGAAGCCAATAATGTCGTTCACGGCGCTTATCGTGGAAAAGGCGCTATGGCCGCACTCGTGGGCGATTATCCATAGGCCGGTCCAAACTAGGCCCTGGACAAAGCTGTGAGTCAAAAGCACAAAGTACTTGATGTGCAAGTACGGCGCTTCCCAGCCAAATTCCGGAATCTTTGCATAGAGATAAAAGAGCAGTGTTGCGTAGGAAAGATCGCGGAAGAGGTACAAAAATGACCAGAAATGGTTAGGCTTGAAGCAATGAGCTGGTATAGCCTGTCGAAGCTCCTTAATCCCAACGTGGGCTTTCACTGATGGTTTCTGAAGTGAATGTCAGTCCAGGATGCACAGATAGAGTTCATCTATTTCACCTCGGCTCTATCGGACAGAAACTCAGTGGGATGGAGTTCTTCGGCGGTGTCAAAGCCGGTCCTCTGCGGCTCTTCGGAAGGGAACATAATAATTATTGAAAACAAATACGTTGCAACAGGCTGAACGTATTCGCAGCAGCACTGAAGTCGGCTTCCCAAAACTTATTTCGCAAGATACGAGAGACAGCAATGCTGAAAACCAATTGGGTTGGAGGCATTAAATTTTCTGTCAATGTTGGCGATGATTCAATATTTATAGTATGTTCACCGCCAAAGGTATCTGTGAAGCAAGTACCTGATTGATCGTCTGATGGCCCGGCCAAAAGAGGTTAACACACGAACGTCAGCTAACTAGGAATACACGCAAGGCGAAACCCGGACATGGGACTACATAGTGGAAAAGGCGGAGATCACCAAGAATCACATTTGTCAAGTTTGCTTCCAGAGTGGGTTCAGGTTAAAGCACGAAGTAACCAACACACAGTTTTGGTTGGGCCGTCTACGCTGGGTCTGGTATCCATTGGCTTGAAATGTTTGTTTGCTTTGCCCAATGACGGCTGATTGCAGGACCTTTGCCGCTTTCCAGCTTTCAACTAAATAGCGCAACCCAGGTTGAAAAGCGGTAAATATTAGTCATGTTCCTGCAATCGCAGCTTTGTTTGCAGCGTTGGTAACCAGAGAGACTTGGCAGTAGTCCTTCTCAGCCGACCCTGTTCAGCTGATGGATCTGCTAAGCGGCACGTAATTCCCACTTACCTTGTTGTGGAGCTCGTTATGGAACGTTTGGTGCGGCACAGGCTATCCAAACGGCCTTCACGGTCCCTAAAGCGATATGCTGCTTGAAGCCGCCGCACCATCACTGATATGCGCTATAAACACCTTCTTACCATTCATCAAAATCCCAGGAAGTAACTTATAGTACCTACAGAGATCATGCCCAGACATTTTTTCACCTACTTCATGGTTGTTAGTGCGGCTATTTCGGTGGTATTGGCCCGGTTGGTTTCTTCCATTGGTGACTCCATGTACTCGCAGGAAAAGTGTACCAGGGGTGCGACGGATGGTTCTGGGCCGACCATCACTCACTCTCACTCATCTTGTTACTTAGCTCGGTTTATTCAGGAGCCAAACATCAACGCGGAAGAGCGGGGTTCACTTTTGAACCGATTGAGAAACCGCATGTCATTGAATGCAGGGAATCCCAAATCTATCGACTTATCTACTGAGTACCCGGCCCTCCCCCCGGCAATATCGTCCGTCCCTTTCTACCGGTCGCTAGAACCCACAAGTTTACCTCCAAATATCCCTCGCATCTAGAGCTTGTATCATCTTATCAAGCTTGTGATCCAGCCTGCTCGCATTGTTGTGGCAGACAGAAGATGTTCCTGTGGGGTGAAAACTGCATGCATCTATTTGCCCTCAGTGCCGATTTCGTCCTTCTCATCACTGATCTCGTCCTTCTTGGAATAAGTCATAGCCACCTGGTAGCATCCATACTTCTTAGCCCTGCGTTCAATTTCCTCCTGCAGGTCGAATTCCGGTTCACCAGGCTTCAGGTTGTGGAAAGATTCTACCAGCTCCTGCATCTCTTGGTTGATCTTGGCCTGTTCCTCGGGCTTGACCGGCTTGACGAAGCGCTGGAACTCAACATTGACGCCAGGGTGGCGAACAAATGCATTGGTTTGGCCGGAGTAGGCAATGCTGCCGCGGGCCCAGATATACTGGTTTGCATCCAACCAGGGGATGAGATCGGCCGGAATGGTGTCTTGCTTCTTCTCCAGCTCAGCCTTGATGTTTTGACCAAGCGTCTGCTTACCCGAGATCATCCACTCATTGAGTGTGTCGCGGTCGACGCCACAGGTGGCTATGAGATGAACATAGATGTCGAAGAGCTTGGCGACGTCGTTCCGGTGGCAAATGACCTCGAAGCCGTAGCCGCGAAAAGCCTTGGTCACCTCAAAACTAGGACAGGATCCCTTCTTGACTGCGGCGATGAGCCCATCAGTGACCGACTCGTCCTTTCCAAAGGCTTCCTCTGCAACTTCCTTGGCACGAGCTCTCATGAGCTTGGTTGCCACTTCGGCGTTCATACCGGACGGCACGGACTGAGCCGCCATCTGCTGCATCAAGAGGCCCTCAAAGCTTTCGCGGTCAGGGCAGACCCTCTTCAGCTGGTCAAGCAACTCCTTGGGCAGACGGCCAGGCTCAGCTTGGGTGTCTCCATCTCCTAGGGAAGAGTCCCAAATGTACTGGTGGTTGCTGAAGAAGTCGATGAGGTGTTGGGGCACAATACCAGGCTCAGAGTCGAGACGAGCCTTTATCCTGGCAGCGAACGCCTTGCCCCCCTTGGAGCGCATGGTGTTGAGTGATCTAGCGGTGATGCGGTAACCTCCAATGAAGGCCTCGTAGAACTCCCAAAGCTTGCGAAAGTCAACAAAGGAGTTGGTTCGATCCATGAAGAAGTCCTGGAGGGCAGTACGGTCCATTGGGGCGTCGCCATTCTCGACGATCGCATCGATGATGATCTCGGCAGAGGTCTTGCGCGGCATCGTGATTGCTGATGTACTTTATCTACCATTCAATCTGTCAGTTTGTACACAGGACCTAGCTTGATCAGCAGCACATACCGAGAGGATTTTTCTTAGATCCGAGGTGGGTTGTGAGTGGGCGTGGTGGCTAAGATTGACTGGAGGTGGAAAGTCGGGGAGTGGGCTTGTGTTGCAACTAAAAGCTCGAAGAACTCGTGGACGGAACGGAGGTGGGATGGAAAGAGCAGGCAGACAAATTCTTTCGTGGTAGAAAAGAGGGCAAGAGCAGAAAGCGGTGGATGGAAGTCGAAAGGCGGTAATGGGAGATTTTTCACGCGGACGGAAGTGCAAGCGGGCCAAGAATGGTCTGTTTGATGCATACGAAGAAGGAAGGCAGGCGCTGGCTCAATCGCACACCTAAATCTGTGATATACCTGCATCTTCCCGATGCCGTCCAGGAAGGCCCGCCTGGGAGGTTTTTTGTTGCTGCCCACCTACCTTACTTCATTCCTCTACCATACTGTGACAGATTTCCTCAAGGCTCCAGCCCTTGATCCAATCATCTACTCTGTCATTTGGACAAGTGAATCGAAGGTTTGGAGAGGTACTCTGCATGTTGAAGCTGACTGCTTTGCTTTGTCTTCTGCTTGGCATTTCTTTTATCCTCTCCCTTATCATGATTGCAGAGTTGCTGCCATTTGAAAGGTTCGTCCACCTGGTATGTCCTGGTTGTCTACTTTTTCGTTCGTGGATGAATATCGTCACTGGTGCTTCTGCCACTGATGTCTCATTTTGCTGGCGGTGAGTGTATAATCAATGGAATTTGCACCATTGTGCCCAAAATCTCCAAGAATGAAGCAGTCCATTTATCTTGCTTAGCAATACTTGTTGTGTCCACCAGACTAGGCTGTGTCGGCAGTACACAACGTCAATGAATGTTTTAGACCATTGTTCACATACTGCCTTCCCTTTCTGTAATTGGTCTCCTGTGATACTTCGATACACGAGGTATTTCTTCTCCTAAAACCAATTTCTCATTTACACCGTCTGCGGTGACCCACCCACCTTTGAAATCAACAGTTCCCTTGGCAATACCCAGATGCAATGTTTCCAGGTAATACTCCAATGTACGTTTGGCCTCGTGACGCTTCTTAAAGGACGAGCGATATCTCGAAATACAATACGTTAAGAAACCACAAAGGTTGACTCTTCCCATCCGTAGACCTTCCCCAGTCGTCTTGATAATACCAGGCTGCGATATCCCTCGATCTGTCCATTGTGAGGACGATGCAGTGTAATTGATCTTTTCTCCGTCGTTTCAGCTTCCGGAGCGAAAGTCACTGCCGAACCGGAGCACCGTGCTACTGAAAACCCTAGATATCCCATTGCTCTCTCAAAGGCATTCCAGCTTACTCTTGTTCTCGCTCTGTCTTTTCCCAAAATGGTCCAGAATACCTCAGCGGTGAACAAGTTGACTGTCTTCGGCGGGGTCGGAGCGCTGAGAATTTCCTTAGAATCTAGCTTGTATGGTGCTGATGCGTCTCTGATCTGTAGTCGTGAGGTTTCGGGTGGAAGTTCTTCTGTTGCTTGTCGCTCCTCTTTCTGTCCGGTTCGGGGGTGGAACTTGAGCACTCGGGCGATTATTTCATTCAGAAATTTGAGCATGTGCAGTTGATTTTGGAGGGAGATGAATTGGGCGGCGCATGGTGAGTAAATGTTTTCTCCTGGGGCAAGTTCGGATCCTGGCAGGTTGATGCTGCGGCTGCCATAAAGAAGTTCCTCGTCAGTGCCATGGGCTTCATCGGGGTTGTCGAGAATCGTATTTTTGCCAACTTCGTTGGAAGTCGGGTATGAAATTCGATTGCCTGTGGTATGAACCTACCTGACTTGCCCCCCAGCAGTTCCTGCTACGTGACATTCGAGCCAGCTCAGAAGCACTTCCGGGTCTGAAATGATGTCTCGCAGCCGGAGGCTGACGCCTGGTATGTCGAAGAAGATATCTTCACAAAAAGTCTCTTTCCGGTTTTGAGGGCTCTTGGTGCCATTGATTGTCGACAAGCATTGAGCCCGTTCTTTGCTGGTGAATGAGCGCCAACGAGTATTGATCCTAGCGCCATGTTTGCCGACCTCTTGTGAGAGTGCATCATGTTGGGTCTTTATGGCTTCCAAGATGGTCTTGTTGTGGAGGTCTCTGGCTGAATGTTCATCTCGAGGACGACGGCGGCCCTGTTTCCTCCGCAGCGATGTGGGTGGCAGTTTCATCGGGAAATAATGCTGCGACTTAAATGAGGTGCAGCCGTTTTTTTGGTTGGCTGATTTGGATGATTGGTCTACCAGAAGAAGCAAGATGTCTGCAGGTGAAGGGTTGTTTTTCCACCATCCACACTCGGCATCAGCCTTCTGGTTCGCTTGGGAGATGGGAGCTGCCGCAGGGTGAACACACGAAAAACCAATCATTATCCAGCTGTGTTTACTTCCGAAATACTGGGAAGGCGACAAAAAGAAAGAGGAAAGGAGATGGAGAAAAAATCGTACAAGCAGTTGCTCCCTGGGAGTTTTCGAAACCATAACAAGGAATTTGCATGGATTTTTCCATCATCATACATCCTACGTCAAAATAGATAGCAGGCGGGCACTGCTTATCCCATCTCACCTCCCAGTCACACACTGATCAACAAATTCTTCAAAATCCATATGTATACTATGCTCCTGGCGAACATGTCACAGGCCAAAATCTCGAAGCATGAAAAGCGACGTCGTATGTCAGGCCCTCCCCCTACCCTCCTAGACCTGGTCGCAGGGCAAGGATACCAGACATAAGCACACACTGAATCCCTGCATCCTGCCTGATCTGGCAAGGACCCATTTTGTGTCAGCGCACAGGCAGTTCCCTGTTGCAAGACGGTAGTCGGCTGGGCCTAGGCCTGAGGCCTAAATCCTAGCCTAAATCCTACCTTTATATAAGAGGTTAGCTATACTACTTTATAACTAAGTATACTTAGTACTTATAACTAGATTAATTAAGTTACTTTATATAAGTTATAAATCTTCTAAATACCTAAATCTATTTACTAAATAGTAAGGTTATTCTTAAATAATTATTAGGACTCTAATTTTATAATTTAATAATTATTATAAAGTAATTAATAAATTACTAAACTATTAGAAGTAATACTTCTAAGTAGAGGTTATAGCTATTATAATATATATCCTCTACTTATAAAATCTCTTT